GTCCCCTTAGAGGCGGGTACTTCTGAGACCACCCTGTCTGATTGCTTGCTCCCTGGTGGGCTTTCCGTTCAGTTGAGGGGCCCCTTTGGCCTCAGGTAGTTCTCATGTGAGACAGTCAGAGCTATCTCCTCTGCTAAATAATTCTCCATCAGCTAGTCTGTGTCGGCAAGGGACTCTGGCCAGTTTTTGAGCACCCAGTCCCTACAACAGGGGTGGGCAAACTCTGGCCTGGAGGCCGCATCCGGCCCTTCAGATGTTTTAATCTGGCCCTTGAGCTCCCGCTGGGGAGCAGGGTCCAGGGATTGTCATGCTCTGGTGCTTCAGCTGGGGAGCGGGGTTGGGGGCTTGCCCCGCTCCACGTGTTCCGTGGCTCCGTGTGGCTCCTGGAAGGAGTGGCATGTCCCCTACTCCAGCTCCTACGTGCAGGGGCATCCAGGGGGCTCCACATGCTGTCCCCACCCCAAGTGCTGCCCCCGCAGCTCCCATTGCCCAGGAACCATGGCCAATGGGAGCTGCAGGGGAGGCACCTGTGGACAGGGCAGTGCTCAGAGCTGCCTGGCCATGCCTCCACGTAGCAGCCAGAGACATGCCACCACTGGGACATGCCACCACTTCCGGGACCTGCTTGAGGTAAGCGCCGCCCAGAGCCTGCACCCCTGAGCTCCCTACTCCTCCCCCATGCCCCAACCTCCTGCCCCAGCCCTGATCTTCCTCCCGCCCTCTGAACCCCTCCATTTCAGTTCAGAGCACCCTCCTGCATGCCAAACCCCTCATCCCCAGCCCCACCCCAAAGTCAACACACCCAGACAGAGCCCTCACCCACCCACCCCTGTGCCCCAACACCCTGCCCCAGCCCGGAGCCCCCTCTCACACCCTGAACTCCTCATTTCTGTCCCCACCCCAGAGCCCAATCCCCCAGCCAGAGCCCTCAACCCCTCCTGCACCCCAAGCCCCAATTTCGTGAGCTTTCATGGCCCACCATACAATTTCCATACCCAGATGTGGCCCTCAGGCCAAAACGTTTGCCCACCCCTGCCCTACAACCAGCTGGAAGTATGTGAGCAAACTGCTTCACCACAATAAGCTTAGCCACCTCAACTCCAGTCTGAGTCTCCAGTTTTATCAACCTCCAACATAGGCCTCTTAATTTCTGGGCAACCACACAAGGCCGGGGTCCCCAGGGGTATTTTTCTCCACAGAACCTCTGTTGGAAGGTCTCCTCTGTGATGTCAAAGTAGTCAAGTAGGCCAGTTTCACCTGTGCATAGTCTTGGGCAGATACTGTATCCAGCCCCCAATATGCAGTCTGCATTGGTCCCATCAGGAAAGGTATCAACAGAGTGGCCCATTGGTCAGGTGGCTATTGGGCTGCTGTCACCACTTGCTTAAATGTTATCAGAAAGGCCTCCAGGTTGTCCTTAAGACCCATCTTTGAGTTTTGCTGGCACAGGTAGGGCCACTAGACCCAGGCCTACAGCTCCCAGAGAGGACGCCCCAGGGATACCTTGAGGCTGCATCAAGACCACTCTCTGTTGGATCAGTCTTTACTGCTGTTCTTGCTATTTTGCCTCTAACTCCTGGACCAGCTGTTGCTGCTGGGCACTCATTTGCTGCAGGAGGTGTTGCTACTGTTGCTGCTTCTAGTTCTTGATCATCCATTTGAGAAGACACTCTAGGTCCATGTTGTCTGATCTACCAACCCACATATCTAGGTTGAGGATGTTTGACTGTCTGGGTCAGGTCACTCAGTCCTCCCTCCTCTCCAGGGCTGGGAAGGATGCCCCCATCCTCCATCAGTTGTGAAGGGGTCAGCTCCCTGCTGGCACTGCCTCATGGTCAGGCATGGCAGTTCTCTCTCCATGGGGGTCTGCTGCCACTCGCTGCTCTGGGTCTGCGGTAGCTGCCTCTTCCTGTGACTTGGCCCTCCAACCAGGTCACTTCCAAGTCTCTCCCTTTGGTCCATAAACAAAAAGGGGAAATTAACACAAACAAACTGTGTTAACACGAGACGGAGGGGAATGCCTCCCTTTCAGGGTATATCTGGATGAAGCTCTTCCTTCTCTCAGGGAGGAGCCCTCAGGCAGTTGTTGTCAGGGAAGATCCTGCCTTCCCTTGGCCCTTTTCTCAGGAGCTGAGGGTTGAAGATCTGTTTTCTTCTCATGTCTGCCCACAAGTGAGCTGTTCTGCTTCCCTTTTGATTCCTCCACCAACCAGTGCATGCCTGGCGGGTGTGGCCAGGGCAGGGCTGGCAGAGCCCAGAGTAGTTCCTTAACCCCTTGTTGTCCAGTGTGGGCTTGTATACTCCATCACAATTACCCTCTTCATCTTCCATACCCCTCTTGATCATTCCATCTCTTACAGACTACTCTCATATTCTTTGTCTATCATAGGTCCTCTCATTAATTTGTTCACTTCCCACAGACTTCCCTTGAATCCTTTTATCTTCCATGGATGCTCCTGGATTACAATCCCCCAATTGATCTACCTTGCACAAACCACCATCAAACATCTTGATCTCCTATACACTTTCCCCCTAACCTCTTTGTCTCCCAGACACTCCTCAGTTTCTTCACGTTCCTAAGGGCATGTGTAACCCACATACCTTCTGGGTGTGGTGTTCTGTACCACTTAGTGGCACCAATACCACTTAGAGAGTTATATGAGTCTGCTGTACAGCATTAGCTAACAGCCAGTTGGCTTTTAACTCATGCTGTAGAGGCTTATGCACTAAGCTCCAGAGGTTCCCGGTTTGATCCCGCCTGTCGATGACTGGGGTCTGTCGGCGTTACATATGCAGAACACAGGATCATAAAAATCTCCAAAGCAGGTGTTTCTCAAATGAAAAAGATATTTGGATTTTACTTTAGTTTCACAAGCTTTCTCTTCCCAAATTATGATTGTAAAACGTGAGACACCAAATTGCTCCAGGTATGGGCTGCAGCATTGTGAAGCACTAGGCCTCATGTGCAGCTCTGTCCTGGGTAACTACTACTAGCCATGGTGCAGCAGTAAGATGCCCCTAGGCACTGAGATTTTGGAGCACCCCAGATACAGTGTAATAATAAAAGCCTCCTGAGTTTGTGATTTTGAAATACTTTGGGACTAATGCAGCTTTGGGTGCCTTCAGTTCTAGAGTACTGAGGGTACTTTAGGGTAAAACTGGTCATGTGAACCTCCCTGCCCTTCCCCGCATTCCAAAATGACAAAAGTCAAACCCTCCTGCATGCAGCAGGCATGTGAAGCTGTACAAAAACATCAATCCCAGTCCAAGTGCCTTCTTGCTCACTTTCACTGAAGGATTGTGGGGAGGAGGAAGCTGAGGCATTATCGGAGGGTCACAGAAAGGTAGTCTGCCTGGATACATTTTGGATACCTATCTAGTCCACTAATCTAGCACCAGATGATTGCAGTTAGTATAAAAGCCAATCCCTCAGCAACTCTGGTTGCCTGAAACAGTCTTTGTGTATCTCTCCTCTTTATCTCTGTTTAAATTCTCATCTTAAAACCTGACTTTTCTACCCTGCCTACAGACCTCTTCATTTCTCTCCCTCTTGGTTATTGGCCTTATGACTGAATGCTTTAATATTTTCACCATGCAAGGCCTTTATGTCACTGTTTCATGTAATTTATACCAGTGAGCTGGAGCCGTTCCCAATATGCTTTCAGACACAGTCCACAAAATGTGTAGAGTCCAAAATCACCCCCTTCCTGCTTTGGGGGTTTGGCTTTATTAACAAAGATACCAGCAATAAGAAAAGAAAGTTCAGCTGTTTCTCAGGTTTCTCTCACGACTGCTCAGCCCACATCCTAGGTTGTCTCCCCAGACAGCCATTTCCATTCCCCTTTTATGCAAGTGCAGTAATAAGCCACCTACCTCAGTGAGTCAGCAAAACCCACTTAATCCTTTCCCAGAAGGGTCAAAACTTGCTAACAGGGTGGAGCATTTCAGGCTTGTTATATGATCATGTACTGTCCTCTGTCTTGAATAATTTAATTCTGCAACGGCCCTGGGATCCAGTTTAAATGAAAAATGTAATCTGAATTTACTGCAAAGAAACAAAATAAGTAAAATCTGTTCCTTCTCTTATTTCTCTCCTTCTGTTATTGTTTAATCATGTGATTTTGAGAAGCCCCTTCACTCATAGATCACTGACCCTCTAGTGGTTAACCTCATCTTGGATCCTTACATCTAACAGATCCAGAAGTCCAGTCAATGAGGGATAGTTGAGTGAAATGGTTCTAAGCTTCTACTGAATTTTTAAAAAGACAGACACATTTTAACATTAATTATTGTGTAGATAACACTGCTGATGTGCATGGCACCACACAGACAAGTAGGAAGATAAAGTCCATGCCTTGTGTTGCTTACAATTCATATTAGGGAGTTACCACACTGAGAAGTGATAAAATCATAACAATATCTATCTCTCAAAATCATGGAGAAAGGGAGATGAGATGAAAAGACACAGAAAGACAAAACTATTTTTGAGGGAAGACTATTACACCAATGACAGGTCTCTACCTGGGTTTCTACTTGTATTTAGTTTTAGGAATGCTGTTGCGGAGGTGTCTGGTGTTTCAAAATATAATCTAAACAGGAGAGGGAGCAGATAATTCCAGAGTGGAGATCAGTGATGGAAGTTGTCTAAAGGTATTTTGAGATAAGATTTGAGAGAAAAATGGGAAATTTGGCTGGTAACATATTATATTATTCAGCCAAATTGTAAGTGTCTTCATGTGTAAGAGGTTTAAAGTGATGTACAGTCCACACAAATAACTCCTACAGTGGTGTCTAGATGCGTTGTCCTGTCACATGGAACTTCATAGGATTCAGCACACCATGGCAAGGATTAGAACCAGGGTCTCTGAAGTAAATGAACATGGAGCATGCTGACTTTAACCCAGAGGCCAATTACAACTGCCATCTCTTGAAAATAATTGTGAAATTACCACAGAGTTATCATTCAACAGAAATAAGATTTTCTCTTAGGGCTGTAGTCTTTGCATGTTGTATTTCAGCATATATTAGTCACCCATTTGTTTATTACCAGAGATTGGCATGAGTACCACCCTTTTATTTCAGGCAATAATGCTGAAAAATAATAAAAGACACAATCGGACTACAGACATAACAGACAGGCACCAGCTGAACTGCATACATGCATGAGTCAAATTGAACTCAAGACCTATCCTTCAAAACACACTTCTACCTTTTGAACGAGATCAGAATATCCATTATTAAGACTACTAAGCAGTCAATAGTATTAAGTATTTTTCCCTCTTGTAGACCTCAAGCAACTAGTAGGAGACATAATCACATTGGGCTGGGTCTAATTCCATCCAGTTGTGGGCAGTGGTATTACACAGACAGATCCATTAGTGTATTAAACTTCTAACAAGGAGGATGCATTCTTAGAACATAAGAATATAAGAGCAGCCATACTGGGTCAGACCAAAGGTCCAACTAGCCCAGTATCCTGTCTTCCGACAGTGGCCAATGCCAGATGCCCCAGAGGGAATGACCAGAACAGGTAATCATCAAGTGATCCATCCCCATCGCCCATTCCCAGCTTCTGGCAAACAGAGGCTAGGGACACCATCCTTGTCCATTCTGGCTAATAGCCACTGATGGACATATCCTCCATGAACTTATCTAGTTCTTTTCTTGTTACTATATAGGTTATGTTAGCTCTACTATATACATGTCAAGATCCACCACCCTAAATATAATCATTTTTAAAAGGGTCAGACACTGTCAAGTAGTAATTTCAGAGTTTGGCCTTATGCTATATACAGTATGGGACTATTCTTGAGTTTCAAAGTCGCTTTCTTCCCTGTAGTCTCAACCAATTGACAGCAAATAAATTAAGAAACCCTAAAATATAAATCCCCACAATAGCTACATTTAATGGATATTTTGTCCTGCTGCAGCTACTCAGTGGAGCAAACGTTAAATGTATTCCCCAAAATCATGCTGATATTCATGACACTGATGAATATCATAAAAAAGCCAAATTGGCTTGTGCTTAATAAGAAAAGGAATACTGTACTAAAAAAAACCCCTCAATATTTTCCATATCAAAAAAGCAATGCTGATAAGAAATGAAACCACACTGTCAAGCATCTAGAGAAGGTTGTTAGTTCCCTATCCCCCCATTTATAATCAAAACAAAGCTAGAAATAATGCTAGTGACTCTTTAATGACTCCAGAAAAGTGAAATAATCAAAACAAGACCTGACCATAGAATATCAGAGTTGGAAGGGACCTCAGGAGGTCATCTAGTCCAACCCCCTGCTCAAAGCAGGACCAGTCCCCAATTTTTGCCCCAGATCCCTAAATGGCCTCCTCAAGGATTGAACTCACAACCTTGGGTTTAGCAGGCCCATGCTCAAACCACTAAGCTATCCCTCCCCCCCAAACTCTTGACTTGTGGGTCAGGGGGCAGAATAGCTTTACCTGCTATTGTTACTAAAATATTCTCCAGCTACAAGTGTCTCCTAAAGATTTATTTACACCTATGCTAATCATTTAGCACAAGCTTCTTCTTTTTGACAAACCACAAACACTTCAAGTGATTAACCTTCTTCCTCCAAGTCTGTTGATTAAGGTGAAGAAAGCTTCTGCAGGACATCAGCAGTGCCCTGGAAATCATGAAAGATGATCTGAAATATAATGATGAGTGATTCAGGTGAGACATCTGTGTCTGGGACGCCTGCTGAGGCTGGGACCCCACTTCAGTCCTGATGGTGCCTTAACAACCTTGTCCTCAGTCATTCCTCTCTTCTTCGCCGGAGCTTTGCCTTAGTTTCTTCTTGCCGGCTTCTCCAGGCAGCAATAATGGCATCATCATCCATTTCTTCTTCCTTGTGGGTGCTTCGTCTGTACTGTGAGAATTGCCTTGATGCAAACCTCTCTTCCCTTTCTTCCACCTTCTCTTCTCTGTTTCCGTCCTCTTCAGACTTTGAAAAACTCTGAATGAACTTTCTCTTTGCTCCAAATTCTGACATGTTGGAACTAGACTCCTCTTCAGATTTTTCCAAGTGACGGGATCTGACTCGACTCTGCGTTGATGGTCCTGGGGATTCAGAATCATAGGATGGCTCTGGGCTTTCTTCCCTAGAACTTGTCTCTCTGACCTTTGTTCGTGTGAACTTGTACATTTCCTTGTCCTCTTTTGCAGAGGTAGAGGAAAATCTTGATGTGGTTCTCAGTGAATCACCTTTACACTGATAGGAAGAAGAACTATCCACCTCTTCACTTTGGGATCTGGAGAAGCTATACTTGCATGCTTCAGAGTCCACCTCTCTGAGAGTGGATGATCTATTGTATTTCTCTCTAGCCTTTTCAGCATGGTCATGATATGATGTCTTTCCTTCTGCTTTCAGGCCACTCAGCCACTTATTAACATTGGTGTCCACCTCTGAATTCCTGGCACCAGTATTTGCAAACTGACCGGAGAAAGCAGAAGCTGTATCAGTTCTGTCAAGATCTGTTTGGAAGGGGTACCGAATGCCACCTATTGTGTTCTCTGTGTTGTCTTCAACTTTCTCTTCTTCATCTTCTCCCTGGGCCTTCTTCTTCTTAAATAAAGTGCTGCGCTTGTTGTCTCTGACAAGCTTCTCAATTTGATAATCTGACATTTTTTCTCTCATCTCCATTTGCATCTCCTTCTCCTTCCGGCTGAGTTTTTTCAGGTCAATGTCATCTGCAAAGAGGCTGTACAGTGGCTTGCTTGTTTGAGTCCCCCTCATGCTTGAGTTAGACTCTCCTGTCCTCATGCTCATTGAGGCATTGGAAGACAGAATGGACTGGGTGTCAGCACCGTTCATGTCCCTCTGGCGGAGCAGAGAGCTAGCTACAGACAAGCCACTCTGTGCACTGAGAAGGGAGGCCTTGTCATCGTCGAGGCATCTGCCAAAGTCACCTGACTTAATGCTGGAGGCCAATGTGGAGGGCGGGTGGGACAACATCCTTATCTCATTTTGTTTCTGAGCAATGGTTTCACTAACCACACTGGCAATCCAGTTCTGAATGCTGGCCATGGATATTGCATCACCCTGGCCAACTGGGATGTTGGGCAGAGGTATAGCTGGCATTTGGGGTTGCATAGCCCCAGCACTGCTTCTGTTCTGAGGTAAAGATGACCGGTTGCTCTGTATGCTCAGTGAAGAAGCTGAATCCTCAGCACCGCTTATGGAAGGTGCTGAGGACCAAAGAGATGACAGCGGGATGCTCCCACTCATTGCGCTCTCTGTCTCCCAGCTGCACAGGGACTGGCTTTCTTCCAGGGTCTTTTTTGAATGTTCAAGTAACTCCATTCTCCTCTGCTTCCTTTTGGCTGAAGCAGAATCTTCGCACTTGGCAAGCTCCACAATATCATCCTTGTTCTCATTGCCCACCCTCTTCTGGTGTTTTATTTTCCAGGCCTGGTAAGCTGTCAGGTTGACATCGGATAGATCCTTCTCTTCTTCTGCTGCCTCCTCTACTGGCTGGCTGCCATCTTCCATCTTGGGGGACACAGAGGATTCTAAATCCTTCTTGTGAAAGCCAAACTGGATTCTCTTGATCTTCCACCTTTCAAGAGGGGTCAGCTTGTCTTTGTTCTTTTTGCAGAAGTTATGAAAGGAGCTGGTGTCCGAGATAACACTCTCCACATCCACATCTCTTCCCTTTCTTCCTGGTTCTGGTTCTGGTTCTGGACTATCATCACCACTTTTATTCCTGGAACGGTATCTCTGAGCAGCTTCCTTCTCAATCTCCAGCAGCCTCTGGTTCCACATATCCCAGGTGCTTTCCGTAGACACAGAGTCTGTGCGGCCCCTCCTCAGCCTGTTGATGCTGCTGGCTTCCAGTTGTTGCTTCAGGATTCGGATGTCAAGGCTACTCACACTCTCCAAGTCACCCAGTTCACTTGAAGGATACGGCCTTTCTCCCATGTTGGAGACTCCATCCTCCTCCCTGGATAGCCAATAACCTTCCTTTTCATATTTTGCATTTCGACTCTGCCACTCTTGAATCATCTGTTCCACATTCTCTTCAGATTCTTCTTCTCCCTGATCTGGAAGTTTTGGAGGCGTGCTTTCCACATCCTGATTTGGTGGTTCCCTTGTTGGCAGGCCTTGCTTCTGCCTCCATTCCTCATACAGCTGTTCCTCCTCCTCCTCACTGATCAGAGTGGGCTTTTTGGAAACCAAGCTAACTTTTCCCATGGATGAAGAACTCATGACACTTCCCAGAATGCTGTTGGTATCCTCTTCCTCTACTGTGATGGAGTGCACTTTGGCTCCCATGACACTCCCAGAGACCTCCACTCCAGACAGCAGGGAATGGGTCCCTGCTTCGATGACAGAATTCTGGCTGGTTGTGTCATCGTCATCCCCAGCGTCTTCCTGCTCTCGTTCCTCCAGCAGCTTCTCATTGAGCTCCCTGAGCTGTTTCAGGAAGCCGTCATTGGGATAAATGGCACGCTTCTTCCTTATAGTCAGCAGGGCCTCTAAGATGGTCATGTGGTGGAAGATCATCAGGTAAGCAGCCACCAGCACAGCCGAGCGACTGATTCCCATTTCACTGCTTACCAGGATTTTACCTACAGGTATGAAATATAAAAGTATCAGATGCTTTCAATAACCTACAAGGTTTAAACTGCAATGCATCCCATAGGACCTGCTCCAAAATCCATTGATGTCAATGGATTTCTTGATTTCACTGGGGTTTAGATCAGACCAATGTTAAGTATTTTTTTCTTTGTTTTATTTTTTGATTTACCTAATTAAAATTTGAGACAATCAAAATAATACCAAGTAACATGTGTACATGTGCTACGAGCTATGGATGGGCACATTTTAAAATAAGCTAACTACAGAAATTGTATTAATAGTTTGCACTTATATAGTGCATTTAATCAAAGAATCTCAAAGCACTTTACAAACATTAGTGAGTCAAGCCTTACAATACTCTTGACTTGCTGTGTGACCTTGTCTAAGTCACTTATCTGCTCCATGCCTCAGTCTCCCCAGGTATAAAATGGGAATATTAATACTAAGCTCAAGAAAGCCATTGGAAGGACAAATTAATTCATTAGTTAATGTCTGTAAAGCACTTTGAGAGCCTTAGATAAATATTAAATTATTAATTGTATTTTTGCCAGGGCTCAGATCTGCCACATTGGGGTGCACTTAAATCTAGATTGCTATAGGTCAGAATGATGAGCATGCAGAGTTATATTGGGTCTTAGAACTGGAATAGCCAGGTGGCAGACTGATATAGCTGAGCCTGCAATCTGATAAACTGACACAGCTGCTCCACTGCCTTATAATACCACCAAAGACATGTTATAATCAAGGCACTGTATATTCCATGTTCCATAGCATTTGCCACAGAACCAGGGCCGGCTCCAGGCACCAGCGAAGGAAGCCAGTGCCTGGGGCAGCCAATAGAAAGGGGCGGCATGTCCAGGTCTTCGGTGGTGGGCCCTGCAGTCCCTCTCTTCCTCTTTCGCAACACTTCGGCGGCAGCTCAGCCAGGCTTGTTTTTTTTTTCTCCTTCGCCATTTGGGGCAGCAAAAAAGCTGGAGCCAGCCCTGCACAGAACCTACCTGTTGCTGAAAAATTGTGCTTCAGAATGGAAGATTTCTTTCTTTTTAAATGACTTTTCTAACTCTTTACGGTTACCAAAAAAATTAAAAAAATAAAAAGAGAGAACCAAATCAAAAACCCTTCCAAACAGGACATGAGCATAACTGATGCACTGGCATCTGCCTGAATCCACAGATAACCTGGAACGATACGTCTCAGATGTTTGAACTTCTCCCATTTATCCCATGTATATCAATGTGCTATTCACTCTGAAACCCAGCAAAGCAAATCTAAAGTGTCAGCTATTTCACTATTGATATTTTACCAGAAACATTCAACTTCCCCAACTACCTCACACTGCCTCTCACAAATTCCTATGTGCCAGAAGCCCCAGCTGCCTCCTATTAGCTCACCAGCTTTTCCTACTGAGACCTTGTGCAATGTAGTTACGTTGTCAACATAAAAATTAGCACCACATTCAAAATGTAAGGGCAGAATAAAATTAAGTGAATTTAGTATGAAAATAAATAACACAAGGGATACTGAAGACTGACTGTAGTATTCATTTTCATATTTAATTCAGTTAAGATCTCTATTTTTAATTTTAGCTGATATGGCTACAGAATTTCCAGAATGCTATACCAGAGTTCCATAGAAATAACCAGGCCATGGGATATATTGCCATAAAATTTAGGTCCAACAGAGCATGCAGGACTTTGGCTATAACCACTGTGACGGGACAAGGCCAGATGGCTATAGAAAAGTAGTGGGAGATACATATATTAGCTCCAGGCTAAACAAATCTCTGGTACCAGGATAAGTGAAATGGAAGCTGCTCCAGGTCAATTAAGACACCTGGGGCCAATTAAGAACTTTCCAGAAGACAGGGAGAATGCTAGGTTGATTGGGACACCTGAAGCCAATTAGGGGCTGGCTGAAACTAGTTAAAAGCCTCCCAGTTAGTCAGGTGGGTGTGGATGTCAGGAGATGTAGGAAGAAGTTGCGTTGTTGGAGAGGCTGAGTAGTACACACCATATCAGGCACAAGGAAGGAGGCCCTGAGGTAAGGGTGAAGTGGAGCTTGAGGAAGCGAGGGCTGCTGTGTGGGGGAAGTAGCCCAGGGAATTGTACATGTCATGTTTCTAAAAGGTCAGCTACCACAGCTGATACTAATAGGGTCCATGGGCTGGAGCCCAGAGTAGAGGGTGGACCTGGGCTCCCCCCCCGAACCTTTGCCTCCTGATTAATCACTGAGACTGGGAGACAACAGAGACTGTGCAAGGAAGATAACTTCTCCTCACTGGCTTATGATGAAAATGGCTCAGTAGACTGTGACCCTTGTCTCTAGAGAGAAAAGGGTTACGTGGAGGGTCACAGTGAGCCTCTGAGGCTAGAGAAATCCGCCAGGAAATGCGGGACCCATGGAGGCAAGGACAGAGCTTTGTCACAATTGGTGTGAGAAGTGGGATTTCGTTCACAGCGTGGCGGAAGAAAGAGGTTTTAAAAAAAAAAGTGCACTGGGGTTTTGGATTTTTTTTTGGTTTGGTTTGTTTGTTTGCTTTGTACCACAATGGAGGAGGTGGTAAGAGCTCTGGTACAAGCCACGGCAGCCCAGCAGGAGGCCACCTGGGTTCAGGCAATGGCACAACAGGATTCTATGCGGCTACAGCAGGAAACCAATCAATTATTGATGAGCTAGGCGACCCAAGATCGTGCCCTCTTGAGAGAGGTGGTGGATCAGCTGAAGATCCTCATCACCCAGGCCCGGGGGTCCGACGGGACGTGAACCCTGAGGGCCACTGGTTGTCTGCCAAAGATGACATCAGGAGATGATGTAGAGGCATATCTCCTCTCATTCGAAAGGACTGCTCAGCATGAGGCGTGGCCCCAGGAGCAGTGGGCCAGCATTCTCGCCCCTTTTTTGTGTGGAGAGGCCCAGAAGGCCTACTTTGACTTGCCTGCCACGGATGCCACTGACTATACCCATCTGAAGGCAGAGATCCTAGCATGATCAGGGGTAACGGCAGCAGTAAGGGCCCAGAGGTTCTATGAGTGGAAATACCAGGAGAACAAACCCCCGAGGTCCCAGCTATTTGACCTCATACACCTCGTGCAGAAGTGGTTACAGCCCGAGGTGTGCAGGCTGGAGGAGATTTTGGAGATCCTGATCATAGACCATTACATGTGGGGACTGCCGCCAGATCTCCGCAAATGGGTAGGCCAGAACAATCCGTCCACGTATGACGAGATGATCACACTGGTAGAAAGATGGATGACAGCCAGGGAACTGACCCGACTACCCAAGGAAGGCCCCTTTCGAAGCAAGCACCCGACCCCAACCCTGGAAGGTTGGGCAGCCAAACCCCCGGGGAGTCCTAGGTGGAAGAAAGGGGGGGCCAAAAACCAGCGGGGACCCCAGAAGGAAGGGATTGGCCTGAGGGGGGGGAACCCCGGGACTAAACCCTTAGCCCCAGGGATAGGGGAGTGATTAAAAGCAATTATAGATGTTATGTATGTGGGGAGTGGGGACACATAGCAGCACAGTGTCCCAGCACCGAGGAGCCTATGCAATGTAACTTGGCGGATTGGGAGGTCCCATGCTCCCTTATCCACCTCGCGGGGGTTGCATTAGCCCAGCGTAATTACACCAGGCCAGTGAGGATAAATGGAGCAGAGATCACAGAGCTTGTGGACTCTGGGAGTGCTATCACCCTCATATCGGGTAAGCTGGTAAAAAGTAGTCAGCTGTTACAATCTAAACGCGTAGCAGTGATGTGCGTGCATTGGGCCGTGAGCCATTACCCCACCATCCCAGTGGAGACAGAGGTTCAGGGAAACCCCATTGAGGTGACCGTGGGCGTAGTTCCTAAATTCCCATATCCTGTAGTCATTGGGAGGGACTATCCAGGGTTTGATAATTTACTCCCCCCGGAGAGGCTGGAGGGAGGTGGGGACCCTGAGGACAGAGACTTGTCACCGGGGGAATGTCAACCCCCGATGTTCGCTGAGATTTCTCAGGAACTGTTCTCAGCCCCCCGGAAGACAAAAAAAGAGAGGAAGGCTGCGAAGGCCTTGGGAACCCGGATCCTGACCCAGGGCCAGAAGACCTCCCTATTAGGCAGATGGATGCGAGCAGCCAACAGAGAAACTTCCACCACAGAAGGTGAGCCAGAGGCTGCCCCCAGCCATGACAGCGGCGAGCCATTGGAAGAAGCAGAAACCAGCCCCTCGGAGCTTGGGCAGGTGAGTCCTCGGAGAGACACTTTTGGGCGGGACCAGGCGGAGGACCCCAGATATGATAATGCCAGGAAAGAGGTGGCCGAGATCGATGGGATACCCGTGGATGGGAAGGTCCGGGGTCCCGGACCTTACTTTATAGTGAAGAAAGATCTCCTGTACCGCGTGGTGCAAATGCAGGAGCAAGAGATACAACAACTTCTGGTGCCACAAAAACATCAACAAGCCATATTGAGTCTTGCCCACAGTCACCTGTTTGGAGGACACCTAGGGATAGAGAAAACCCAGGCACGGATCCTGAGGAGGTTCTTCTGGCCAGGAGTACATGAAGATGTCCGGTGATACTGCACCTCTTGTCCGGAGTGTCAGTTACATAGCCCTCGCCCATACTTGTGGGCTCCTTTGATACCTCTTCCAATAATAGAGGTTCCTTTCGAATGGATAGCCATGGATCTGGTAGGGCCCCTAGAGAAGACATCTCGGGGCCACCAACATGTGCTTGTTGTACTGGACTATGCAAGCCGGTACCCAGAAGATGTTCCCCTATGCAACACAGCTTCCAAGACAATAGCTAAGGAGCTAGTACAGATCTTTGCCCGGGTTGGGCTACCCAAGGAGACACTGACTGGTCAAGGGACACCTTTCGTGTCCAAGTTGATGAAAGATCTCTGTTCATTGCTCCATGTACAAGCCCTACGGATCTCTGTATACCACCCGCAAACAGATGGCCTTGTGGAAAGATTCAATAGGACCCTCAAGGCCATGATCAGGAAAGTGGTGAGCCGGGATAGGAAAGGTTGGGATACCCTATTGCCTTACCTCATGTTTGCCATCCAGGAGGTTCTGCAAGCCTCCACGGGTTTCTCTCCATCCGAACTACTATATGGGCGCCACCCTCGGGGCATATTGGATATAGCCAGAGAAGCCTGGGAAGAGGAGCCAAATCCCGGAAGGAACATAGTTGAGCATGTACTGCAGATGAGAGATCGGATAGCCCGAGTTACGCCCATTGTACGGGAACACTTGGAGAGAGCACAGGAGACCCAACAAGCCCATTATAACCACCAAGTGAAGCTTCGACGGTTCTAACCAGGGGATCAGGTGATGATACTGGTGCCCACAGCAGAAAGTAAACGGTTGGCCCAGTGGGAGGGACCCTACGAAGTAATCGAAGCCTTGGGATAGGCCGTCGGAAATCGGAGCAAATTTACCACAGCAATCTTCTAAAACCTTGGCACGATCGAGAGGCATCCTTAGTCATGCAGGAGACCCTTCCCCAGGAGGATAACTTACACGAGCAAGTGAGGATATCATCCGACTTGACGCCGATCCAAAAGATCGAGGCAGCCAACATGATTAATCGCAACCGAAATGTGTTCTCTACAAAACCAGGGCGGACGACTGAGACCTATCACCATATCCGCACGATCCCCGGAGCCAAGGTAACATTGAGACCCTACCGAATCCCAGCAGCCAAAAGAGAAGAAATCAAGGCTGAAGTAAAGAAAATGTTAGAATTAGGGGTTATTGAAGAATCTTACAGTCAGTGGTCCAGTCCAATTGTTTTAGTGCCTAAACCTGATGGTACCATAAGATTCTGTAATGACTTTCACCGACTGAATGAAATATCCCACTTTGATGCATACCCCATACCATGCATCGACGAACTGGTTGACCGACTGGTAGTGCCCGATTCTTGACTACACTGGATCTGACGAAAGGGTACTGGCAGATTCCTCTGACCAAAGAAGCTAAAGAAAAGACAGCATTCTCCACCCCGGATGGGCTATTCCAGTACACCGTCCTCCCTTTTGGGCTACATGGGGCCCCAGCCACATTCCAGCGCCTCATGGATAAGCTGCTGCGTCCCCATACTAGTTATGCAGCTGCATACCTAGATGATGTCATCATCCATACACCAGACTGGGGAACCCACTTGGAGAAAGTTGAGGCAGTACTGCGCACCTTAAGGCAGGCTGGCCTCACTGCAAATCCCGCTAAATGCGCCATAGGGCTAGCAGAGGCTAGGTACCTGGGATATATTGTGGGAAGGGGCATAGTGAAGCCCCAAATGAATAAGCTAGAGGCAATTCAAAACTGGCCCCAGCCGACCAGAAAGAAGCAGATCCATGCATTCCTAGGCATGGTAGGCTACTACCAACATTTTATTCCCCATTTCGCCACTAGGGCAAGTCCGCTAACGGACCTGGTGAAGGCCCGAGGTCCAGACATGGTAAAGTGGACCGACGCAGCAGAGGGGGCACTTACAGACCTTCAGACAGCCCTCTGTAATGATCCCATACTCATAGCCCCGGACTTTAACAGGGAATTTATTTTACAAACAGACGCTTCCGAGGTGGGGTTGGGGGCAGTTCTGTCACAAATGGTGGGAGAGGAGGAATACCCGATCCTCTAACTAAGCAGAAAGCTTCTCCCAAGAGAACAGAAATACGCAGTAGTCGAGAGAGAATGCCTTGCTTTCAAATGGGCTATGGAGACACTGCGTTATTACCTCTTAGGCTGGCGATTTACTCTTGTGATGGACCATGCACTCCTCCAGTAGATGCAGCGGAATAAGGAAAAGAATGCAAGGGTCACCAGGTAGTTCTTATCCCTCCAACCATTCCAGTTCCGCATACAGCACAGGGCTGGATGCCACCATGGCAACACTGATGGTCTGTCACGAGCATACTGCCTGGCATCCCAAGTTGCCCAACTCTATGGTGTTGAGCAGAGGGGGGGAGATATGTGACGGGGCAAGGCCAGATGGCTATAGAAAAGTAGTGGGAGATAGATATATTAGCTCCAGGCTAAACAAATCCCTGGTACCAGGATAAGTGAAATGGAAGCTGCTCCAGGTCAATTAAGACACCTGAAGCCAATTAAGAACTTTCCAGAAGGCAGGGAGAATGCTAGGTTGATTGGGACACCTGAAGCCAATCAGGGGCTGGCTGAAACTAGTTAAAAGCCTCCCAGTTAGTCAGGTGGGTGTGGGAGGAAGTTGCGCTGTTGGAGAGGCTGAATAGTACACACCATATCAGGCACAAGGAAGGAGGCCCTGAGGTAAGGGTGAAGTGGAGCTTGAGGAAGTGAGGGCTGCTGTGTGGGGGAAGTAGCCCAGGGAATTGTACATGTCATGTTTCTAAAAGGTCAGCTACCATAGCTGATATTAATAGGGTCCCTGGGCTGGGGCCCGGAGTAGAGGATGGGCCCGGGCTTCCCCCCGCATCTTTGCCCCCTGATTAATCACTGAGACTGGGAGACAACAGAGACTGTGCAAGGAAGGATAACTTCTCCTCACCTCCCTCACTGGCTTATGATGAAAATGGCTCAGTAGACTGTGACCCTTGTATCTAGAGAGAGAAGGGTTACGTGGAGGGTCACAAGTGAGCCTCTGAGGCTAGCAAAATCTGCCAGGAAACGCGGGACCCAAGGAGGCAAGGACAGAGCTTTGTCACACCACCTAGAAACACATTACCCGTTTTGTCTTTCAGTAGCACAGTGACCCCTACTGTTCTGTAGTAGATAATCTAGCAAAGGTGAGGAATCAGTGTACAGGACATAGCAGCAGATAGTCTTGACCAATAGCTGGATATTATTGCAACAGTAGCACTTGATAGGCTCGAAAAAGCATATTCATGAGCGTCAGGGCTCAGGCAGGAGACCAGCAGATTCAGTTGCAGGGCTTGCAGCAGGGGATCTCTGGGGTGCAGAACTACATCAGCTATGTCTCTTCCTATCCCTGATCCACCCCTTCCATCTCCAGTCCATTCTTGACATACCCCCACCTTGGAATGCCCACTGTGTATAGGCCTTCTGTGGGGGCAGTGCAGAACTAGGCCTGCGGTATTCACCAGGAACTCTTTAATCTGCCGTACACAATGGAGCCAAAGGGAAAATAGAAATCTGGTCCAAAATGTTCTCTTTGATGCCTCCTGCATCACTGGATTTCAAGTGTCCAGGAACTAGCCCAATCTCCTTATCTTACCTCTGTATGTCAGCAGTGCTTCATCAAGGAACTCAGCAGCCTGGTGAAAGTGTTTGGAAATGTCCATCTCTGGGAAATCATCCACCTCAATGCCCAAGTATTGGATATTCAAACCATTGTAGAAATCTGGCCCTGTGTACACGCCGGTTCCATGAGCTGCATTCAGGATATGAGAGATCCCAAGCCTCTTCAGACGGCCTTTGTTCACTGCAACACTCCTCCAAAGAAGAGAAAGCAATATTAGAAGTTGGCTCCTGTTCTGAGGCTGGAGAGAGCCAGTCCATTGTCCAGGAGGCCAGCAGAGGTGGTGTTAGAAGGGGAAATGCCAGTAAGAGGGTAACCATAGCTTGATTAAAATGGAAAAACAACAGAACAGAATTAACACAATGGGGAATGGAGAGTGGCAAGCCAAGCTGAATATAACTCTTTGCCAGCCCAGTGAATGCTGTGGAAGGATATTTATAAAGGTCCTGTGCAATCTGAGGGGTTAGACAAGGAACAGGTTTTTGGCTCAGGAATGTGTACCAAAGCCCTGAACAATCTAAGGGCAAGAAAAAGTGCATGATATTGAAAGACAAGATCTTTAACATGTATGATTTGTGCACTCAGATTGACCTAGAAGCAGCAGCTTAGATAGATTCCCATGCCAGGACTTTCCCTTCATCCTTAAACTCAGGGACAGACTGGAAAAAACATTATGTGAGGATAATCTCCCAATCTCCTGCCACAGCTTAATGTCCACGCACTCAGGACTCCACCACCCAATCATGACTCCAAAATGAGATTACACTCTCAGTAGACTGTGCAAATGCTCATCTTATGATAGTGCCTCTCCTTTCTTGGAAGCTTTGATTAGTAATATAATAATTAACGATATTCACATGTAAGTTGCCATAGTTAGTCTTCAAAGCTGACTCCCATTGAGATACATGAGAGAGTTCACATCTCTTAGATCTATTGTTTCAGGCTCTCTGCAGACTCAGGCACACAGCAGGGGATTACTTAGACTCTTTTCACATTTTGAAGCTTCCTTTGCAATCATAAGAGCCAGAGACTCTTAAATAAAACCTGAGATTCTGGAGCACAAATCAGTGGCTGCCAGGGAGAAGTACTTAGTCACCAACTTGGTGCAAACCTACCCAACCTGATCTCTGCTTAAAGGAATATTCTATCTGTTAGGCTGTCTCTGCTTCATAGACACCGATACGGACACCCAAGTTTATCCTTTCCACTCAACAATCTGACTGCTCTGTCTCTCAAATGGCTGATGCAGACTTCAGAACTGTGAGTAGCAACACAGGCTGTCAAGGTCTGTGAATGGTGAAAGTGAGATGGGAGCAGGAGATAGGGCCAACTCAGCATCTTAGAGTAGGGTTTCTATCCCATTTAGGTGAACAGAAGACAAGCTGAAATGCAGACATGTCCAGCCTAAGAGACTGAGGTGTCTGTAGACACAGTAACCTCCCTCCCTCTACTCTAAGATTAGCCAGAGAAGTAGCACTCTCTCAATGGTCTTCTAGCAGTTTATATTCAGTACTTACTTGAGAGATGCTCAAAGAGAAGCAACGTGCTGCAGGACACATTACTGGTGATTCGTTAGATAGCACTCTTCCCTCTCAGTGCTGAACCAATGCCCCAGCACAGTGCTAAGGAGCACTAGGCTGCTGAAGGTGCTATCTTTTGGAAGAGCCATAAAACAGACACCCTGGCCACTTGTCTTCAATACATTGCCTGGCATTCCCCCCCTCTTTTTTAAAGGAATAGGCGTTCCTGTGTCTGGCCCAAATTCCAACTGCAGTAATTTCATTTTGCTTACAGTTTCCTAGGTGCTTTTAATTGGATATGGTATTCTTCCCTTCCTTTCCTAAACTGTTCTGAAGTGTCAGTATGCATGGTGAAAAAGCTGTGGTTTTTCACAGAAGCGGTTGCTTTTCAGTGCAGTGTAATCTTAGTACACAAAGACTGTAAAATGTCTTTGGATCTCTGGGGACGAAAGGCATTACATGTAATATATATTATGCTGAGGTGACTTTAATGACTCCATCAAACCCTTCACTAGAAATTTTGTGCGATCTCAAGGACAAAAGTTCCTACTCACTTTTCTGCTATAAAGACGTTGGGCCAGACTTCATCCACAGGATCCCAGGGGGACTCCAGCCTGTCCTTCATGAGTGCCCTCTGCAAGTCCATCACACACGGTGTGTTGAACAAGCTGGTGTCATCAATCTTTTCTTTAACTCGGTTGTACAGGTCCTCCACCAGCAGCTGCTCTGCGGACTCCAACATCCCTGGACAAACTGAATCCACTTTGACCTCCTTTGTCTTCAGCTCTGGAATGAGCTGACTGTCACTCAACGCATGTGAAGAATTCACTATTCTTTCTCCCTGGAACAATCCTGGGGGCTTCTTAACTTTGTTCAACAGTTTCCACCCACCCAGTCTGAAATGTGTGCATGTGTGTGCTCAGGCAGTAGCCTCAAGACAGTTAATAGGGGACTGAGCACAGTAACCTTTCCTTTCATCCCTTGTTGATCTAGATAGGCTAAGGTTACAAGTGAAAAGGAGTCTGGGGCAGTCTCATTCTAATCCCAAGCATATGGGGAAGGGAGCTTGCCCAGTGGTTAGAGCCAGGAGCAGCAGAAGCTCCCTAACAGTGGGGGTGGAGACCAGTGCCCAAACCAGGGCCTCACCCCTGCTTCTCCTCCAGGCCCCGCTCCTGCACTGCCCCTTCTCCCCGAGACCCTGCCCCCTGCTCACTCCTCTCTGCCTCTTCTCCACCATTGCTTGCCCTTACGGCCAGTAAAAAGTGGGAGGGCATAGTCCTCCCACTTTTAAAAGTGCGGGGACCATGGCCCCCTACCCCTCCACCATTGTTCCAGTGCTCCTGGTTAGAGCAGGCAGCTATGAATCAGGACTCCTTCACTGTGTTCTATGACTCTGCCATTGACTCACTGTGTGACTTTATGGCAAGTCTCCAAACATGTCTGTGTAATGGTATGTAAAATGAAGATAACCCCCCTACCTCATGCCGGGGGTGGGGAGGGGGTTATGAGGCTTCATGAAAGTTTGTTTGGCACTTTAAAATCCCCAGATGAAAGAGGCTAACCAAGTGCAACCAAAGTCTTTCTTACTTACCCTGCCCCTTTGATCCGCTTACCTTCATTGATTATCTGTTTAGCAGCTACTGCAGACGACAGGTGGATAGGCTCCATGAAGATGCTTTCTGTGTCTGTGTCTGATATCACTGAATACCTGCCAGTCAATTACATTGGTATTAGACAAACACTTCCTCATCTGCTCTGCACCTCTGGTATTGCTTCCCATCTCAACCATTTCAGAGGGGAGCAGCAGGGAGGGCAGACAGAGGACCTTATGAGGGATGGAGGGAAAGATACTCCCCCCTGGAGAGTGTGACAAGTGTCCTCTGCACACTGCCTTTGGAAGAGATCTCTGGCATCCAAAGGATGTCTGCAAGAGGTGGTGGAGGGTCCTGTGGGAGAGGATTTGGAGGTCGGAATGACGGGCTATGTGGCAGCAAGTGGGTGAGAGTGAGGCCTGCAATGAGGATCTGTAGTCAGTGGAAGGAGACTCCAGAAGAACAGACCTGGAGAGGGAGTTCCTGCAAAGGAGGACTGCAGGTAGTGGGTGGAGTGGGATTGTTATATGGGTTATTCATGTGAAGGAGAATTCAAGGGTACATCCACACAGCTAGTTTTCTTGCTTGAAAACCACTTCTTGTTTATCATTAGTTATAGTAGAAGGAGGCGCTAGGGATTGGCTGTATAGACTAAAGACGACCCCACTATCATAGCTTCTGAGCCCAGGCTCCAACCTGAATGTTTACACAGCTATTTTAGCGTAGTGGCACAAGCCCCATGAGCCAGAGTCTATAGACTTGGGCTCCGAGACTCACTGCTGCAGGCTCTTGCTCTATAGATGTATTACTTCTGGGGGATTTTTCACCATTGTGTATATGCATAATTCATGTGCCACGCATATTTTTATTTTTTTCAGCAGCGAATAGCTTCTGCCAGAAAGTTGCTGGAGTTCTGCCTTTTGCCCACCAGAGAACACTGTGGCGCTAAAACAGAGCAGCCGCTCCTGGCCAGCCCCAGCTATGACAGGGAAGAGAAAGAGCCTGCAGTGTCTTCTTCACAGTGCCTGTTGGGCCAGGTCAGGAGACAGATAGCATGGGGCACATGGGGTTGCTGGGGGGTCACAAACAGGGGCAGGGGCTGAATGGGAGTGAAAGCACAGGGCCACAGGGGGAGTAGGATGCAGGGCCACATGGGGGAAGGAGGGTGGTTGAATGGGGGCACAGAGACACATGGGGACAGGAGGGAAGGGGTGCAGGGACACATGGGGAGGGGGCTGGCTGAGGGGGGACAGGGAGAATGGGTGTCTGAGTGGGGGTGGAGGGACACGTGTACAGGGGGTGAAAGGACACAGGGGGACAGGGGCAGATGTGCCTGACTGAATGGGAGAAGCTAGGGGTCAGTCAGGGTCTGCATGGGGGAAGTTCCCTAACAATCCTTCTCTGACGCCCAAAAAACCTGTTCCATACTTTTTCCATCCATACCCAACAATCTTCCAAGTTCACACCCATGCTCCTTCCCAGCAATAATTTCCCTCTCCCTTAGCTCCTCCATTACCCCTAGCTCTCTGCACTGCTTTTGAGGGTTTCGGAAAATATGGTTCTGTATTGTAGTTTAAATGAATTGTTACTCAAGAGTTCTCTATTGATATGCCTAGTAAGGAATCTATTTGTCAAAAAACATTTCCTGAATCTTTTTTGTTGTCTATATTGTTAGATATATTTGCTGACAGGTATTTTGAAATAAATTACCAAAATAATTAAAATTGGTGTGATTATACTGTGTTATTTTGACAAATAAAATATGCAGAATTTTACAGAATTTTAAAATATTGTGAGCAGATTTTTTAATTTTTTTGTACAGAATTCTCCCAGGAGTAATGTATCCTGAGTGGCTAGGACATCCACTGCTAGATCGATGGAGCTATCTGGGGGTAGAAAGAGAGTTATAAACATCCATTTTATCCCATATAAGTTCTTGTACCTCCCTCATCACTAATATCTGCGTGCCATTCCAGACCTGTCTACTCCAAATCTGCTGCTCTGCTTTTACATGAAGGGTGGCTTCTGACTAGAGTTTGGTGAACAATTCAGAACAAATTATGCTGCAGTTTTGGCCCTTTTTCTGTTAACAAATTGTCTGCAAACACTATTTGACTTTTACAGATGTGTTTGTTCTTCCAGATTATTTGATTTAAGTGATCATGTGGCAGCCTGTGGATCTCTTGCAAACTACTCACCATAGTGATTGCATCATAATTTGACATTAACTGTGTGTTTGGTCAATCAAGTCACATGGTATTGTTTCTGTTCTCTGGCTGGAGAATTACCAACCCCACCAACAGCTTTCATGATGGCTGCTTGTACATTCAGAACCAGATTTTCAAAGCTAATTAGACACCTAGTGGGATTTTCAGAAGCACCTAGGTATCTAACACCCATTGAAATCAATGTGTTTTAGGCAACTAGTTGCTTTTGGAAATCTCACGAGGCACCTAAATACCTTTAAAAATCTGCCCTCAATTGAATATACATTTATATGAGTATATGTGACCCATTCTCTGCCTCTGAACATTTTTGCAAACAAAAATGTGCTCCTTTGATTGCCAATGGAAAATGAATTAAAGGGTTCGTTAATATAATCGTAGTGGTGCTGTGAACTATGTGAAATAAGTTTGGGGTCTCGATTCCCTTCCCAGGGGAGAGGTAGCCACATAAAAAAGCCTCCATTGAAACTGCTGCTAACTGGGCTTCTTGTTGATAGTCTCAACAGAGGTGTCAAGGACAGAACAGGTCATATATACTGAGCTTCCCTCTCATCCTTGGAGGAGGTCCCTCTGGGTTACTTCCACAGGGGCTAGTATAGAGGAAGCTTATTCTACTGCTGCCGGTGCTGTAGTTGTTCAATGGATAAACAGAGGGCATCAATCTCCAGAGCTGTCAATCCTACACCTTTCACCAGGAATAGATTTATATACAAAGAATATATTAAAGAAATACATGCTGAGTTCACTGTGAGCAAGTAAAGGATAAAACCCCAGAGAAGCTTGTCCCATGTGCCCCACTCTGGTCCTCAGGGCCCAGCATGGCATTCGGGTTAGACAGCTGACTGTGGAGACACAAACACTCTCTCTCTCTCTCTCTCTAACTTGAATTTGTGGCTGTTTCCTCTTCCTCCATGAGAAGGCCTGGACGTCTCAGGCTTTTGCACACACCAGCCTGGCTGCCAGCTGCATGGATTAAATTGGTTCCCATAACAACTGGCCATGGGAGGGTAGGTGGACAGCATCATTCCAAACCCAGGAGCAGCTGGGGAGACTGGGGCAGGCAGGAAGGACTGTGCAGTGTGATGGGTTGGTGCAGAAAGAGTTGGAGAGTTCAGACCGCAGCTGATACAATTAGATGGAGGTGGGAGGTGGTGGAGGGCAGGGACCACAACTGCACCAAATTTTTACAGTGGGAAAGTGTATTACCATTCCTCTCCCCTCTGTCAAGACTGTCTGAACAGATTTTGCACATGCTTGGTCCCCAAATTCTCCTCCAGGTTGACACTGAGCATGTGGCGTCTCAGCCCAAACCAGTATTTGTGGACAGAATCTTGATGAGCAACTACGGACAGGGAATTTAGCTCCTGTTTGCTACGTAGAGCAGTGGGGAACAAAAGTGGGTGGGAAACCCCACAACATCTGCAGAAGAGGGATTTGCAGGAGGCTCCACAAATCTAAGTGTGATTCTGGGAGTAGGGAGGGAGAAGAGCAGGGTAGTAGCCACTGCATGTAGCATGCTCCCCACTGCTTTCCTCAGCTTTTGCTGAGGAAATAAATCCATGTGCGTGGTGGAATGTCCAGGCCTGCAGTCTGTTTGAAAGGGAGGAATGGGGCATGGCTGTTGGAGCCACAGACAATAGTATCATCTCCAAAGGGAGCTGTGCTGCTAGGGAGAGGGGCACCAGAAACCCATGCTGAGGGGATGGCTCTACATTATAGACCAGACTCTGAACAGATTTCCCAGTGGATAGCCAAGAAGATTAAATTCCCGTCACCTCTTGGAATGGTTCCTTACAATTAGGGCTGGGGAGTTTGTAGGGGAGGGATCATTTGGTATTACTAACCATATCCCCTTCTCCCTCTGTGCTGACCCAAACTCCTCCTGCTGCTGCTGGACAAGTTGAGTCTTTAACGTTCCAAGTTAACCTGCATGGTGCCTGGGGCACAAGTTGAATCCCCTGGTTTGTCCTGGGCTGGGGTTAGCCTGGACAAAAAAAAGTGGTGGTACTGTGAAGCTCCACTCACTGCCAAAACACCACCCACTGCTGAAACATCTTGTAATGGGGTTGGCACCCGCCTCTTGTGAGCGCCCCCCTGGTAGGGTGCATGTGCTTGCAGTCTCTCAGTTTATGGGGCTGTAACAGAGTGTTACCTGCCTCTCGCGACTGCCCCCTTGATCAAGTGCATGCCTGCAATCACTCAGTTTGTGGAACACAGTAGCACAAGCACCCTCTCCTTGGATAATGGTTTCTTAGGCAGGTCTTCAATGACTCAGCCCTCTGGACAAGTCACACACGCTGTCTGTAGGTGGAAGAGAACAAACCCCTTCTGGGGTATACAGTCTTTACCTTCTCCCGGGCCTGGTATGTGGACATACCCTCAGGGCTTCCTCCCTGGAGACACTGTCTTCTTGCAGCCCTCCCTGGGCTCAGACCTTTCTCAGTCCCAGCAGCCAGCCAGGAACTCCTTCTCAGCTCTGCTGGTCCCTGCCTGCTCTGAGTTGTCTGTGGTCCTGCTGCTCTTTCATCCAGCCATGAACTCTGTCCTCTCTCTGCCAGCTCCAGGCAGCAACTGACTGACAAACTCTATCTCTGCTGCTCCTTTTTATATAGCCCTCCTGGCACCTGATTGGCCACTCCTGCAGCCCCTTTGATTGTCTTCCTTCCCTACAGCCAACTCTAGGCCACTTCTCCTCTCTGGGATGGGGTATGGCAGGGCCCTGAGGCCTCCAACAGGGAGCTGCTGGGCCTAGTCCACCCCGTCACACATCTCAACAAAACCAAACCATAAAGTGACTGCACTGGAGTCCCTCACAGGGGTGTGCTGGTACCTCAAGTGCTGGGATGAGCACACCTTTTGTGTGAGTACTGCTTCTAGTGCTGGCTTCAAGGGGGAGTTGTGATGGTCCTGAGCTACTGCCAGTAGGCCGCAGGAGTTTCTGTGCTGCTGCCACCACTTGAACAGCTCCTTGGACATCCTCCTCCTAAGAACCCCCGTCCCGTTCCTCCAACTACTGCCCTTCCCCTGACTGGCCAGTCTCTCTCTCTTGCCCCCCCCCCCACCATGTGGTCTCGGTGCCATTAGATGGGACAGAACACCACAACCAGGAGGTGTGAGGGTTACAGGTGCACCAGCGGTTTACAAGCCCTGATCCTGGGAGGGCAGCTTGTAGCCGTTTGAATGGAAGTGTCTCTGCAACTTTAACTGTGGTATTTGGTACTGATGGCAGAAAAGGTAATAGGTGAGGGAGGTGGTTCTGTTCAGTCTGAATGGCTGATCAGGTGAGGAGGAGGAGTAGAAAGACGTGGTGATTAGGCGATATTCCTACATGATTATATTGCACGTGAGCCCAGAAAATTACATGGGCCATTTTTTTTAATGAATACAGTAAATGAAGTAAACATTCTAGCTGTTGTTGGTAGCATACCTCATGATTAAGGCTGTTAATGGAACCTCCGTAGTCCCCATTTGCATATAACCACAATCCCCAAAATATCTCCTTTTTGACAGAATCTTTCTATTGCTCCCTACTTCCTGCCCCAAGTGCAATTTTAAAGTTTCTGGGAAATCCTGTCAGGCATTTTGCATTAGGAAGCAGGCACTTTAAAAAAAAAAAAATCTCATCACACTTATTTTGACTAAAAGACACCACAAAACTGGCAGAAGCCCAACTTTTGCTGCCCTGTAAGTGGCATCCTCCTGCCTTGTTCCCAGCCTTTCTGTGAGAGATAGGCCTGAACCAAAACCCAAAATCCAAATAGCCTCAATCTCTGGGGGGTTAAAATCCACACGTGGGGTTTGCCAATCCAAAAAATGGGATGAATCAAAAGCCTGGGTCCCAACATACCTGGATTTTGAAAGCCAATCTGAATTTTGCAAATTAACAGGAGGAGGGAGAGTATAAGGAGTGGGAAAGCCATACTGCTTCCTCCTAATGCGTGTGTGTGTGTGTGTGTGTGTGTGATCTAAGATGAATGAATGGGATAAATAACTCATGAGCTCCATCCCCACAGCATCTCCCCCCGCCACGGGCTATGCTGGTATTCTAAATCCTTCCCTCTTAGAGGAAAGGGAAGCCTGAGGCTATGTTCTTGATCTGAGTAGGATGGGTACGTGTGGGGTAGGGGAGGAAGGGGAAGCAATTTGTTACATGCAGTCAGGAAGCCGTGGCAGCCCCTGTGGCAAATACACTCACTGGCTGGGGGAGGGGCTGCGGAGGTAGCGGGCCTGCACTGCCTTCACGTCTGGCCTATCCTCTTCGTCTGGTACCACTTGCTCGCTGTCCGAGTCCTTGCTGCTTGCCATGGCCAGCTCCGAGGATCTGCTGGAGGTGCGGAGATGGCAGGGAGAGGGAAATAAGAATACAACAAGCATAAGCGCTGCATTTGGGAAAACCCCTTTAGGCGAGGCATTGGCTCCTACCTGTCCAAATTTTCCCAGGTTCATCCTTTTGTGAGGTAGCTCTCCCAGGAAATCTGTAAGAGTGCTCTGCACCCACTTCCAGCTGTGCAGTTTTTTGGGCTCAGGATCATCCTGGATGTCCTGCTTTTTTGTACCTCAGAGGTGGCAACCCTAGGCTGGGCAGGCCGGAGGCAGGGCATTCCCCATGCCCTGCACTGTGGTGGTAACACAATGATTTTGAATTGCAGACCATTATTACAGAAGTGACATGAACACCTTCCTGGCTGGCAGGGGCTGGGAACTGCGCAGAGAAGGAGCAAAGAGGTATGGGAGCCAGGAAGGAGGAAGGGCCTTGGGTGGCTGGGCAGAAACTCTATCTCCTTCCACACAGCTCAGCCCTGTTAATAGACACTAGAACAGAGGTACCTGAACTGTGGGGTGTGCCCCCACAGGGGGGTGCGGAGGAATGTTCGGGGGTGGGGCACGGCTGGGGCCTGCTCCATGCCCCACAGAGGGGCAGGGAGGGAGCACCATCCAGCTCCTCTCCTGGCCCCGGCCCTGGCTGCCGGCCCCATGCCCAGTGCTCTGGCTGCTGGCCTTGGCCCCCCGCTGAGGCTCTGCTCCCACCCCCAGCTGTGGCCCCAGGCTTAGCCTCCTTATCCCTCACCACATGTTCCTTCCCCCCTAACCCCCCACCCCGAGCCATGGCCCTGGCTCTGGGGGGGTGGGGGGTGAGGTAAAAAGTTTGAAGGCTACTGCACTAGAAGGAGCCTCATCCAGCTAACTATGGGGGGCTGGACATGGAGACTGAAGAAAATTAGGGTGGGGAATATGAGGCCTACCCTCCTCATAACCAAACACTGCAAAGGATCAAGGCCAAACCCTTGATTCTGACCAACTTTAAACCCCAGGACTCATCCTCAGGAGGCCTTTGCCGTGAACCCACGACACCAACCTCTGCCAGCGTGCAGTGGAGTGTGTGTGTCGGGGGGGGGGGGGGTGATATTATTTGGTTGGGAACCTGGAGAAGCAGCAGCCAGTTCCTCAAGCCTCACAGAGTGACTTCTGGCTCTCGCTCAGGGAGTGTCTGTCCTATCCCAGCCTCAAGGGCTCAGATATCCCTTGGCAGCTGGTCTCAGATATCAGTGCAGCCATGTCCCATAAACAAGGGCTGATGTTGCTGCCGCTCATGGAGTCGGTGAGATGGGAAGCAAAGACGGGAGGAAATGGCACTTACCGTCCGTGTCTGGAGCTCTCCTAACAGCAGAATGGTCACTCCCTGTCTTAGGCTTAGCAAGGGAGCCCAGTGGATGGGGCAGGAAAGTTGGCAGGGGACACAGCTAGAGCAAGAGATCAGCCACCCTGCCTCTCTCTCTGCGACTTCTTCTCTAAGGGGCAGGACAACTGTCAGCACCAAACCTTTAGCAGCTTTCTAAATATAGGGTCTGCCCCACACTGGCTGCTGGGTCACATGGGAAAGGAATTCAGTGCCTCATAGACAGCAGTTCGTCAAACTTTTAACTCTCCCCATGCTGGGGCCTGAAACTCCTGATATTTTCTTGCTTGGATTTTCCTCTCACAGAAGTGGCCCAGAGAACAGCCAAAACTCCACCGGCAGGGAGCCCCCAGACAACTGGGACTCCACCAGGGGCAGTCTGAAATGCTGGTGCACTCCCTAATGCCTTGCTGCAGTGCAGTGTATGATCAGCTGTTCATGCTGACTGGGAACTCTGTGGTATCAGCATGGCCCCCTCTCCATTAGGGCTCAGATGGGGGTAAATGGTAGCTTCCCTTCTCCTTTTGCTTAACAAGAAAACCTCCATATCCAATCCCTTCATGAGTTCTCACAACATATTTTTGGTGGCCTCAGAGTGTGGCCACCAACTCTTGCTGGTGGTCGCTCTGAGAATTTTTCCTAAAATACTTAATTAACTTTAGGAAAAACAAATAAATATGCACATATATAAGTCCGGATCATTGTAATTTATGTATGTAGCGTGTTTTTGCAGACTCAATAATAAAAATAATGTACAGCTGTCTACTATTCCTTACTGGACCTAAGCAGAATAGAAACAAAAATAAGGTGCTTTGAGTGTTTTGATTTTTTTTTTTTTTTGGATTGTTAGTTATTAGGTCTGCTCCTGTGAAAAATGTTATTTGTATATTTGTTAATATCATTTTTCACAGCAGACTTACTCAGCCCTGGCATGCTGGGGGACAAATTAAGCCCTGGATGAGTAGGTGGGTAAGGAGGCAGGGGGGCCAGGGGTAATGGGGGGCTGGTGCAGGCAGTGGGGGTTGAGGTGATGGTGCGGGGTGAGCCTGGGGATGGAACCCAAAACCCTGCAGCTAGAGGACAGAGCCCACGGCCACATGGCCAGAGCCTGCCGCCCACCACCCCAGGGCAGAAGCCTGAAGCCTGAGCCCCACCGCACCTGGGAAGGTGGGGAACTCACACTGGTTGCCTGCTCCTACAGTGTTCGCTCCAGAATGGGGTAGGGACCAACCCCGACAGGCAGCCCCAGGGGATGAGCTGCTGCTTTGCTGCCCCCATCCCCCCTCAATCACAGCCCAGGAGGCTGTGGCCGCAAGAAAAGCCCCTGGTGGCCGCATGTGGCCACATTTGAGAAACACTGCCTAAAAGCACATAAACCAGCTCTGGCTCCAATGGAACCTCTACATCCCCAGGTAGTAGGTTGATTTGCAACTAAATACAGCCTTTACACTAAATTTGGTACTTTTTTCTGGCTAACCAGGATGACACTCTATTTATACACATGTATTTAAGCAATTATAGAGCTCAACATATGTTTATTCAGATTCTTAATTTTTACCTTTTTATGATATTAGAAAATGATGAATATGTTTCTTATTTACTGAATGATTATTCATTTTTTGCTTATGCTTTGTGTCAAGCCGCGTTTGGCTGGAAATTGGAATTCAATTAAAAATGCACAGAAACAGCATTTCAAACTTTTTATTAGTTAAATAAAACTAGGATATATAAGAAAAAAGTAAGTTAATCAAAACCAGTTTTGCATTTAAAACTAACTGATTTATTAAACAAGGGAAGTATTATTTGTAGTTAGTCAATTGAACTGATTGTTTCTGGTCATGATGTCCTTCCAGATTTTGGAGGCAGTAGACCTCATCCTCTCATACCTTAATTTTATGAATCAATTAGAAGAGTAAAAAAACTTCCCAGCTTGTTCAGCTTCCAACTGGTAGCTTAACTTTGAATAGACTAATAACTGAACTGAACTAGCTGAGTAAACTGAAACGAAGAAAAAAAAATTCTCTCTGCAACTGCAGAAGAGGCTACTGCTGTCAAAAGCTGGCTTAGCACTTCAATAAAGTCTTGTTCCAGGTGCTTAGCCAGTGATTTCCACCAGTTCAATGGTTTGACTTTCTTTAAAATTTCAGCAGCAAGTATGTACTACTTGAATATTATTTTTACATAATTGAAATTAATAGACTTTCTTTAAAATTTCAGCAGCAAGTATGTACTACTTGAATATTATTTTTACATAATTGAAATTAATAGAGTATAGTACATTTAGGCCTGAACATATCTGCCATAATTTTAAATGTAAATAATTTATTTTTGAAAATAAATATGTATTTAATTTAAATGAAAAGTATTTGATTTAAATAAAAGTCTAATGTAAATTAAAAATTAATACAATAAAAAGGGTTTTTTAAAAATTAATCCATTTTTATCTGCCATGGTTATTTGTCACTGTACAGATAGCTCTTACTGCTCTCTTGTGTGCACTTTTACCTGGCCCTTTGGATTAACTCGTCATTTCCTTTGTGTACCTATCAATCAGCAGAGACCAGGAAAGGTGGTTTATTTACCTGAGAGGGTGGGACAAGTTCATAACATACAGCAGCTTCCCTCAGGCAGAGAACAGCAAGAGATTTCTATCTCTAGTAGTGAATTATTTTGTCAATCTAGCTGAAGGGGGTGGGGAAGATGGGCAGAGTGAGAAAGAGCAAGTGAAAAAGGATTGGGGAAGTGAGTCCAAACTACAACCGTGAGGCTTCCCTGTTTGCCTTACCCCATTAATTAAAATAATTCAGCTACTGAGCAATCCTACAGGGAAATATTCTGTACGGAGGATAAGAAGAGACCATGAGAGCTATGAAGGGATCTCAGCTGTTCATTTTGAGTGTGGGTGAGTACTGTTTTGGTTGTGTTCTACAGGGAATGGGTGGAGACTGGAGAGAGGTGAATGTTACACAGGCAAATATCCCAGCCATTTCTGTGTGTCAATGCCCTTTGTTTAGTACAAATCTTAGCCTGTTTATGATCTGGCAGGTACAGTGATAATGCCTCCATACTACAGTGTTGAGACTCACAGGCAACTCCAGAAGTCTCTCTACAATTTCAGGGACAGAAAGAGAATGGAGTTTTGTATCATGGTGGCAAAGATTTTTAAAACCAATTTAAAATGATTTCCATAGATATTGTATATCCTTTGTCCCTAGAATTCAAAGGGGGAAAGTCCTTAGCTTCTGCTCTCTACACTGTATGTTTCGAACCCAAGGTACAGATCTGCCAACATCTATAAATTAAACTGCTTTCCTTGCTTTTAACTCCAAGAGCCTTGGCCCAACTCTCTGATCCTCTGCCTTCTCATTTCCCCCTGTATAGCCCCCTGCCAATGACACCAGTCTTGACCTGCCTTTGTTTCCTCACACAAATATCTCTGTGCCTTTTTTCCATGCCAGCCTAGGCATAGAACACTCTCTACCACTCACCTAGATGCCACCCCTGCCTTACTTAAACCCCTCTGAAAAATCTCACTTCTTCCGGGAAGTCTGAGAGATGGGAATTTGTATTTAATACTGTACAGTGGAATTACAAAAACTGTGTTCCTCAAGAAGTGGGCACAGACTGAATCACTGGCTGCTCTTATTGATATAACCTGTTTTACCCCACCCCAGACTATTCCCTTTCTATTTGTCATGGGTGATTCTAAAGACCTAAAGCTGTTTGGAGCAGGAACTTTGTCTCTCTCTTTAGTGGCTCACCTTGCACCCTTTGCCAGGGGTGAAATGATAAACAGGTTGTTCGCAGTGTAGTTGTAGACCTCTTGGTCCCAGGAAATTAGAGAGACAATGTGGATAAGGAATATCTTTTACTGGGCCAACTTCTGTTGGTGAAAGAGACAGGTTTTTGAACTTACACGGAACTCTTCTTCGGGTCTTCTTCAGGCCAGACCCGAAGAAGAGCTCTGTGTATGAGTTTCTTTCACCAAGAGAAGTTGGTCCAATAACGATATTGCTTCACCCACCTGTCTCTCTAATAATAAACAGGGCCATTTGGGCTGAGTATAGGCCATACCTTCTAACACCATTATTAAAACAGTGGAGTGGGAGAGATTTTGGAAGAGGTTGTTGAAGCCAAGAAAGGTGCAGCAGAACCAAGAGAGGACTCAGGCCCATGCACAGTAGTATAGACAGTCTCTAAAGAAAACGCTAGGTCCAAACTTTGGGAGCGTTCAGTTCAAATTTTGCAAGATGGGCTCATCTCTGGCACTTTATTTTTTATTATTTATTTGTACTGCAGTAGCCCTTAAGAGGCCAAGGCTCCACTGTGCCTCCATCTCTCTTCACTATACAAACAGATAACAAAGAGACAATTCCTGCCCCAGGGAGTTTGCAATCTGAATAAAGATAATAGACAATCTAAGTAAAGATAATGGGTGGATACTGCATACAGACAGGGGTGAGGGATAGCCCAAGGAAATTGTCATGTATGAAAATAGTGTATTTACACTGAATAGAGTTCTGAGGTACACGTGTATTTCTTATCTGCCAGCTCATTCTATTTCAAGGTGATATGAGAAGTGTTTTCTTTGCAATTATGTAAACTTTGGTTGGATTTATGCAGCTAGAGTAGCTTCACATTTTGTCCTATTTGTTAGTTCCATTTGATGTGAGATGTTTGAAAGAGATCATCACACAGGGGGGTATGGACGGTTGGGGGGAGGGAGGGAATTTTGTTCCTGCTGGGCTGGGAGTTACTTTTGTAGATGGGTCTACATGAATGTTTCCAAGGGTTGTTAGTAAAAAAAAATGTACAGTGGCTGGAGTGCTAGACAAGTGCTCAGTAAGGAAACAAAGGAACATTGTCACCCTTCTACTCAGATTTTCTTTGCAAAAATGTTCTTAACCCTGTCACTCATGACACCTGAGGTGATTAAAACAGAAAGAACTTTTATAATTTAGTTAGTTTTTCACCCTTTGTTCTGTTTCTATGCCATTTACCATTAATTCAATGTTGTCAGTAGAAGTAAACAAGTCACTTTTACTTTCTGGTATTTCTGCTGCATTCCCAGTACTGCCAGGCGGGGGGAAGAAGGGGGTACCTTGGAGGGGAGGAGAGGTCTTTTCAGTGATTTCTTTAAAAAACTGATAAACAGCATTTCTATGTCAGAACAAAATCTAAATCTAGGGTTTAAAGCCTGTTGACAATGTCTCTTTATCAATATTATATGCTATTTCCCCCCTGAGTTTGATTGGATTTTAAGGCCTTTCTCCCTTCAGTTGGATTTAAAAGGGGTTCAGTTCCCCCTCCAAAAAAATTGATTTTGGACATGCCACCAGTTTTTAACTAGCTAAGCTGTTTGGTGACAAAAAGCATCTCCCAGCCCTGCACCACTGCTGAACAGACTACCCCATTGAAAGCGCTGGTGACTCGAGGGGGAAGGAAACACCGTTAGTGGTATCACTGGATGTAACTAAACAGAGATTCAGAGAACCAGAAGGATATGTAGTGGGGAGTCTTTTATTCTCCAGTGAAAAGCTGGATTACGAGCCAGTCAAACAATCAGACTAAAGATGTAGGAAATAAGTGAGAAGGCACCAAAGAGATCAGCCCTTTGCATGGCAGTGCCAGGCAAATTAGAACAATCCTTCACAGTGACATCCAGCTCTCCTATTACTGGCTGCTTCTGCTACGTGTGGGGTTTGGTTTGGCACTTTTGCAACTCTGAACTGATAGTGTTTTTGAAAAGAATAAAAACCTGCAGTAAATGAGAGGTTTGGCATTGGCTGGACTCTGAGGAATAGCTGTGAGTGCATGGGGTTGGGCTGTCACTCTCTCTCTCTCTCTGTGGGTTGGGTTAATGATCTATTGGTGAGCCCTAGCCGGGTGGAACCAGTTTCTGAGGAGTGACAATGGAGTAAGAATAACCTGTTCTACCAGAAACCATTGGGGGCACTGCAGGTGCTTCCTGGGAGAGTCAAGATACTGCTCATGCTTCTGGAGAGGAGGGATGGACTCTGCCTACCCACACAAAGCAAGCCAATGGCTTTCTGTGTGTGTATGTGTGAGGGGTGAAAGGTGGAAAGGATGGGCAGAGCCAGCTCTGGCGTCATGTACACAGTGCTGTTATCTTAGGTGCCCTATAGCAGCTAACGTGCGGGTGGTAGCTGCAATAAAGTAATAATAAAAATACTTTGCCCTACTAGATCACCTTCCTTCTGAGGCTCTCAGAGCACTTCAAAGCTATGAACAAATGAATCCCGCTGTGTGGGAAGGGAGCATCACCCCCATTTTACAGATGGCGACACAGGCATAGAAATGCTCAGTGACTTACCCAAATTCGCACAAGAAGTCAGTGACAGAGGGGACAGAGCCTGGGAGTCCTGATTGTTCTCTACTCTAGCCATCAGCCCTCCTTTCCTCACTATTTATTCTGCTTTTATTAGGGAGGTGATGAAAGGAGTGAGAAGAGCAGGAGCAGAGAGGAGGGATCCTTACACTTCTTGTAAATATATGTCAGGCTGGTTCGGAAGGTGCTGAGTAGGGGGGTGCCTGCCAGGCAGCAGAAGAAGGTGCTTGCAAAGCAGGGGTGACCCAGTGTCAAACTCTCCACTGCAGTGAGCCTTAGGGAGAGAGGACACACTGGGACTCCAGTCACACAGGCCATTTCATAGGGAAGGTCCGAGTCTAGAGGGATGGTTTCTTCAGAAGAAGGTCTGTCAGGAGTGAGTGACAGAGAGGAGGGTGTGAGCTGAATCAAAGAGGAGAGCTATGTACAGTCAAAGGCGGAGTCCATTAGACAGGGCTTTCCCAGACTTTGCCATTGCTGCTGCCTCTCAGAGAGGAAATGAGCTATTCCTGTCTATCCACACCATGTCCATGTATCCTGCAGGCCTTTACCTCACTCATCATAACGGGTCCCGGCCTTACTTTCCTCGTGACATCCCTGCACTTAGGGCAGGCAGGTGTGGCCTTTCTTCACCTTTGGGAGCACGTGTTAACCCTCTACTCACCAACCCCTGGATGGAGTCTATACAGCTCATCACAAGGAGAAATTTGCCTTGCCATCTCTCTATCCCATGCATTAAATTCACTCATGGTACTAATCTGAAGGTCTGACATAAGTAGCAGGGATGTGACTCAGCCCTAATCTGCACTTAAAATACAGATCAACCTATCTATGTTGCTGAGGGGTGTGAAAAATTCACACCCCTACGTGCTGTAGTTAATCTGACCTAATCCCCAGGGAGGATGGAGCTAAACTGATGGAAGACCTAGTTTATCACCACTCAGCGACGTGGATTACCTACATTGATGCAAAAACCCCTTCTGTCACTGTAGGAAGCATCTACACTATGGTGCTATAGTGGCACAGCTGTAGCATTGCAGCTGTGCCGTTGCAGAGCCCATAGTGTAGTCATGGTCTGAGACAGGACCCAGAGCTGGCTCTCCTGCACTGCATCTCAACCACCAACTCCCCTCCCCCCACACCACGTGACCACCCTGGCACTTTGGGATGGCACAGCTCTTCACTATCCTCCCCCCTCCCCATATGCTCTGCGACAGCACATCCCTTCCCTAGCCTCTGGCACTGTCCCTTTTCATCCTGTTCCTGAAGGGAGCCTGCCTCTACGCTGGGAGTGCCTCTGCCCCTCCTGCACGCTAAGGTGAGGTAGTCAGATTCGGGTTTCGATCTCATTCCTTCTCTCCTCTAATGACTCAGCGGTGCCATGAAAAAAACAACAACCCAGAACTATGCAGAACAAAGCAGGTGTTTTAAAACACAGCTTCCTGGGGACACAAAGGTCATGGAGAACTGAGTGTAAAACAGAACGAGGCCTCCATATCCAAGACCCCTGCATTGTGCTCTGGAGAGAGCTCGGTTTTGACCAGAGTGGCATGGTTTTGAGCTCAGCAGACACAGCATTACAAAAAACCCATCATGTGGCTGCTTCACCAAACCACAGGAAAGGCCCCTCCCTTCTGCAACCTTCAGCTACCTTTCCCCCCACCCCCATTAAAGTCTGAAGTAAGTATTTCAGTACAGGAGGATGGCCACTGTTCCCCCACCCATCTCCTCAGGCAGCTGGCCTGTTGCTGGGTCTGCACTCCCTCTCTCGTGTCTGACCCCCACTACTATTCAAGGGTTTCCCCTGTGCGGGGCATCATAGTGCATGTCACGAGTCTGGTAACCCCAGGGGACATGAGATCTTTCCCTGTGGTTTTTTCAGGAGAAGAAGGAATGATCTGATATGCACTGAGGCTTCCCCTGTAAGCATAGCATGAAGTCACTCCAGAGCAGCCCCTGGGTAAAAGGGAGTAGCTGTGTGACCCAGTCAAGATGATGCTGAGCCCCACCACCATATCCCATGTAGGGATCTGCTGGTGCTTCTGTAAGGGAGCTAAGGTTCATGATTATAGTGACTGGGGAGGTGGTGGTGGGTGGATGTGAATAAGGACTTTTTTTTTTTTTTTTTTTTTGCACCTGGAAAAGGGGTTTCCATGTCAGGGCTTGGACTGGTTCTCATTTACCCAAACCTGCTCTCCCCTCCCTACAATAAGCACAATTGAACATTACTGCTGCTTGTTTAAGCATTGCACTAACAGGGAAAGTCGAGTCTGGTGGGGGACTGAGGGGAAGGGAGGACATGGGGAAACAGCTCTGACTGCAAATCAAGCTCCTGCTCTGATATCCTGGAGCAGATTCTCTAGCTTCAAACTGCTCATCTTACCTATCACAGATTCTCCATACTGGGTAACTCCAAGGAATGCACAACCAGTTGCTTATACCATGGGATATCCATACTTCAGCTAATTGAACTAACCCCTGGGGAAATAGTACGCCTAGGGATCCACCCCCTGGGATTTCCAGGGAAATCCTGTGGGATTATCTAAACCAACCACTGGGGAATGAGAGCCTGAGGTCTGATAAACTGATGATGTGGAACCCACTCTGGGAATTAACCCAGACACAAAGCTGGGTTTAAGGGGAGTTAAGGTTGCTATCAGTAACTTCAGAGGGGGAAATATCACAAGAACATGGTCTTTGTCCCCAAAACTAACATACAGACCCCCCAAATTCACGGCTAAGGTTCAGTTTACAAGGAATGCAAACACGACAAGGTCCGGAAATGCAAAGGTAAGGCAGCCAAACAACAGCAACTCTGGACCAGCTCCTCCAGAACACCAGCCAGCCACTTTCCCTTTGTCTGATAGTTTCCCCATGGCACAGCCACTTGTGGGTCTGGGATTTGTTTTTGCAGTAGTACTAGCTTTGGAGACTTGGACTTGGGTCAGGTCATTGAGGACTGCTGCTTGGGAGAAGACCTTGTCCACAGAAGGACTCTTCAGAAGAGAAGGTGCAGAAATAAGACCCAGCCTCTGGAGCACGATTCATTATATTGATTGACAGTTGCCTGTGTGCTCCGTGCTGTGCGGACAGAGAGGAAGACACACACTCTACCCATTCTCAAGCAGACAGAGACGGTACAGTGCAGACTTATATGATACCCAGTCATGGTAGGGCCCAATGTACCCTGGTTGAGTGCAGGTCTCGTCCTTAGTACCAAGAGAAGCATTTCTCTGATGAGGGAGATTGACCATATTTGTTTGTTTTTTGTGTCTCTCTCTCTAGTTCTGGTGACTGCCCAGGCACTCACAGTGAACACACGTGTCAAGGAAGTAAAGGTAGCACAAGGAACTAACGCCACCCTCCCATGTGAATTCCAGACCTCTGCTGCCACCAGCAACGCAGACTTCGCTGCCTGGAGCAAAATATCTCCGTTGGTAAATCACAAGATGCATGCGAGCATATTGGGGATGACGAAAATGCAGATAGCAAAGGGTCTCAGACCTCTTTTTGATCTGTGGTGGAGGGTGAAGAGGCCTTCTGGGCTCTTTTTGTCAAGAGACCAGGGGTTGAGTTCTTGGTTGTCATCCTGACTCTGCCACAGACACTCATTGTGTGACCACAGGCAAGCAAATGGGCCTCCATGGTCCTCCCAGACTGCTGAAGGATTGTGGGGAAGGAGCAGGAAGGGATCTTTGTAGCCTCGGGGTGGGGGGGAGGGATGGATTTAAGTGGCCTTCAGGGAACTATGGGACTCTTTTTTGCCCCAGTATGTTGACGGGGAGGGAGGGGTGAAGAGGCCCCTGCAGGATATGGGGATGAAAGTCTCCAGGCATTCTCCTTGGCCTCTGGGGCACAGGATATGAGGGTATCTTTAGGAAACTAGGGAAAGGTAGGCCATCTGCTTCTTTCCAGTTCCTGCTCCTCTTAGAATGTGCCAGTCTGTAGTGTTAGCTTGAGGACACACATAGCAGAAAATAAGTTTGCTGTTTGGTGTCTCCTTCTCTATTACAGGAAGATGCTGTCACAAGGTATTTTGATGGCTTTGCACACTATGGCCAGGGTTACGAAGGCCGTCTGCAATTCCATGGCACTGCGGTCACAGATGTCAGCATCACCCTCCAGGGGGTGACCATGGCAGACAATGGAACTTACAGATGCACTGTCCAAGTGCGTGCAGATCTCCCCCATGCCTCTGCAGAGATAGATCTTTTGGTCCTTGGTAAGCCACTCTACACCCTGAGATAGTACAGATCCAATGCCGCAGCTCAGTGACAGACAGCACTATGCAACAAGCAGGAAGTGATGTTGGTGGGAGTACTCTACCCCCTCAGTTAGCACTGATCCAATACTCCACAGCAATAAGAGAGAGAGCCAATGCCAGATACTTCAGAAGAAAGCATACGCCATCCCCATCATGCACATCACTATACTATGCTGTACACCAAGGATAGGTTATCCTTTGATGATGGTGGAGGGGAAGTAACATATATGTCCAAACATCTTATGATTAACTCCTGAACTTGGGTGGATGTGGGAGGGAAGGACAAAGGGTAACAAAGCAGTGGGAGAGGCCAGAATTTGTTCTAATTATTGTAAGAAAATGGTGTAAGAGAGACCAGTTCCGGCCTGGGAGGAAAAAACACAGCTGCAGAAGATGGATTGCAGGGATGTATAGAAAGAAATCTCAGCAGACCTCTCTGTATAACTGTGCCACACTTCATCTGCTTAGGCCATTCTCCCTTCTTTGCCTCTAGTGGCTCCATCCAAGCCGGAGTGTAAAGTCATAGGGACACCGGAATACGGACGGACCATCAACCTGACCTGCAATTCTCAACAGGGGTCTCCAAAACCTGAGTATACCTGGCAAAGCTTCAGCGTACTGAACCAGCCCCGACCACTGGTGTCAGCGTCAGGTATGTGAGATGCAAGGAGGCCAGGCCATGGTACTTGCTGCAGTTTGGGAGTAGAAACATTTTGGATTGAGGATTCACAGTGCTTTTAGGCCTTCTGAGCAGGTCCTTTAAAAAAACAGGACTTTAAAAGGTTATCCTCCAAGGGTGAGACATACCTGTGAGTATCTGGGCGGCTGTCTGGAGCAGCGACGGGCAGTGATGCTTTCACCTCTTGGTCACCGATTCAAGCCCAGCCGAGAGCTTTGAAAAAAACCAAAGTAATTATTTCCTAATAACCATTTGTAACCAGCAAAGTATTTCACACAGTCCCCCCCGCCCACGGCAATTTCTCTTAGTGGACCCGTCTATACCCTGCCACAATTGACACTAATCAGCCCCCTTATTGATGCTTACAGGAGTGAGGCTAAGGAACAAACTGGCCATGTTTCAGAGTAGCAGCCGTGTTAGTCTGTATTCACAAAAAGAAAAGGAGTACTTGTGGCATCTTAGAGACTAACAAATTTATTTGAGCATAAGCTTTCGTGAACTACAGCTCACTTCAGTGGATGCATCCACGGAGGCCGAACTTTTCCACTCCGAGAGGTAACCGCCCAGCTCAGGGCTGAGAGCGGGTGGGATGGAGGCTGTCAGGACAGTAACTGTCACTAGCACGATAGTCACTTTATTTTAAAATAGTGTCAGAACAAAAGGAGTGATTAAGCTCCTGAGAAGTGGGAGCAGGGAGGAATGTCTCTAAAGGAGATGGGGGTGCAGTAGTCTCTCACATGCAGACAATCAGCAAGAGATAGCAGTGTATAACAGGCAGGCGTTATTGCCAGAAGCTGCCGTGTGTTTCTTGACCAGCTCCACAATGTAGAGTGGTTCTGTGTTTCAACCTGCCAGTCGTGGTTTCAGATCCAGTGCCATGGTGTGGGTAAACAGATGAGCTGAATATGATCCTAGCTAGGTAGGGCACTCACATTTTACTCTCTGAAAATTGCTTGAGCTACCAAGGAGAAACTCCACATGAAATCTCTTGATTTCAGAGTAATAGCCGTGTTAGTCTGTATTCGCAGAATCGATGAAGTGAGCTGTAACTCACGAAAGCTTATGCTCAAATAAATTGGTTAGTCTCTAAGGTGCCACAAGTCCTCCTTTTCTTTTTATGAAATCTCTTGTTCACTTGACTGGCCACTGGGTGGTGCCCCTGCCTCAGAGATGGCAGCTTTTGTCTTCGCTACCACAATGTATTTTCTTAAAGAGATCAGACCACTCTGAACTTTTCTGCCTGCCTTATTCTCCTCCCCAGGGGCAGGAGTTTGTTCTAGTCTCCTTGCATTTGGTACTAATTTTCAGGGAAATGCTGTCCATTAAGGGTGCAGATGGAATTTCTCCCTCTGGGATTTAGGGCTGATGCTGGGAGGCTATAAAAGGAGTAGGGCTGTCAGGGTAGCCGCAGCCCTGAGCTGCTGGAATGTGTGTGTTGGGGTAATGCTGCAGGGTATGTGGAATTTCTTTGGAATCCATCCATTCTCACAATGGTGGGACACTTCCTGTTTTTCTTATCTGCCCTACATCTTTCCAACTTGGCTCATAGGGCAGGCTATTTATTTACAGATGTTTAAATTTTCCCAGGAATTTATCAGTGTTTATTACAAAAAATTAAAAACAGGTAAAATCAGTGCAGTAAAATTAAGTTCAGTTTTCCGGGTAAATATTGGGGTAAACCTGACTCTCTGTTCCTGGTTTGTTTGTCTGAACCTTTCAAGAAACAATTATGTTCTAAAACTCAGATTCTTATTAATTGTACATTTTAGTATGTTAGAAAATGGTGAATGATATATTCCACTGTAATTTATTAATTAACTTTTTGTTTATGATTTGTGTCAAGCTGCATTAGGATTGAAACTGGAATTTATTTAAATGCACAACTGCATATAAAATGTATTTTTATTGAACAAAACAAGCTCTTAATAAAGTACATGATCTACTGTGCCACATTTATAAAACTTGATCTCAAAAGCTAAGATGTTTTCCTACAATTCTTTCTTTAAATAGAAAAGTAGCCTTTAAAAAAAACTTTTTAAACAAAATCCAAATTAAAAAAATACATTTTTAAAAAAGTTAAAAAAAATAGATTTTTATCTGCTCTGACACTAGTGCTTGGGTTATGGCTCTTCTCTGGAAGGAGAAATGGCAGGTAAGCAAGCAGTGATCTCTCCTTTTAGAGCAGAAAGCTGAGTCCAGGGAGTTCTGGCACTTTTAAAATTGTGTGACATTTTTTTGGTAAAAAACAAATAATGGATTTTGTAAAACCCACAAATATTTAGGTTAAAAAAGATTGGTAAAAACTGGAAATGAAGGGCCTTACTCATAGGACATTTATTCTCTACTCTATTCATTTTGGGGGTTACAAAGCAGCACTGCACTATAGCGTTGAAAGCTGTAAACACTGTGATGCCAAAAAAATGACAGCCTAGACAGGGACACTGAGAAAAGGGCCCGGGAGAAAACTAAGTCATCACTGATAAAGTTTGGAGATGACACAAAAGTTGGACAGGAGAGGTAAATAATGAAGAAGACAGGTCACTAATTCAGAGTGATCTGGATCATTTGGTAAACTGGTTGCAAGCAAACAATATGAATTTTAATATGGCTAACTGTAAACAGATACATTTAGGAACAAAGAATGTGAGTCAGACTTGCAGGATGAGGGACTCTATCCTGGGAAGCAGGGACTCAAAAAACTTTGGGGTTTGTGGTGGATAATCAGCTAAACATGAGCTCCCAGTATGCTGCTAGGGCCAAAAGGGCTAATGAGATCCTTAAATGCATAAACAGCAAATCTCAGGTAGGAGTGGAGAGGTTATTTTGCTCTATTTCCCACTGGTGTGACTGCTGCTGGAATACTGTGTCCAATTCTGGTGCCCTCAATTCAAGAGGGATGTTGATAAACTGGAAAGGGTTCAGAGACAAGTCATGAGAATGATTAAAGGATTAGAAAACATGCCTTATAGTGATTGAGCTCTTTGAATTCCACTGAATGCATCCGATGAAGTGAGCTGTAGCTCACGAAAGCTTATGCTCAAATAAATTGGTTAGTCTTTAAGGGGCCACAAGTACTCCTTTTCTTTTTGTGAATACAGACTAACAGGGCTGCTACTCTGAAACCTGAGCTCTTTGAGTCTATCCATTTAGCTTAACAAAGAGAAGGTTAAGGGGTGACTTGGTTACAGTCTGTAAGTACCTACATGGGGAAAAAATATTTAATAATGGGCTCTTCAGTCTAGCAAAGAAAGATATAACATGATCCAAAAGCTGGAAGTTGAAGCTAGACAAAAATACATCTTATTTCCAGTCTGAACATAACGCTTAGAATAATTAACCATTGGAATAATTTACCAAGGGTCATGGTGGATTCTTCATCACTGACAATTTTTAAATTAAGACTGGATGTTTTTCTGTAAGATCTGCTCTAGGAATTATGTTGGGGAAGTTCTCTGGCCTGTGTTACACAGGAGATCAGAGTAAATGGTCCCTTCTGGCCCTAGAATCTATGGCTCTGTGAAAAGAACATGTATGTGAGAGAGCTGTGGTGCCAGATGATGTGCCTAAATATAGTTACCAAGCTCACTTTAAAAACAGATGGTTGACAGGGACCATCAGAGAAAAAAACGGAGTTGCCATTTAGGTGTAAAAAGGGAAACAACCTGAATAAAACTAAGTTTATACAGAGGAAATGATAAGCTCTAATTCATAGTACTGAGCTCCACTAGCTCAAGGGAGGAGAGGTGCAGCCTCATAGCACACCCTGCCAAATACATGATTTCTCCCCACGGATTGTTTATACAGCCTGATCTACCTTTGCCTTACTCTACCAGGCCATCGTTCCCCACTAGCTCCCTTTACTGGCAAATAATTATGGCATTGTGACATCCTGAAAGCTGGTGGGTTGAAAAACTGTTACAAGACTAGTGTGTTAGCTCTTCAAACGGCCATTTCTCTGAGCCAGCTGCTCTCAGCTGCCATACTCCTCCTGACAGTGATAACTTTTGTGACAAAGCATACAAGGCTGCTGGCCATGTATAAAAGAGCAAGACAAACCTTTGCTGAACATTCATTTGCCCACAACCCCACCCACAATTGCAGGGCTGAAAACAGCTGAACATTAAATGTATTGCCAGTAGCCAAAGGCACGTTTTTATTTAGCCTTCCTTATGTTTCCCACTAAGAACCATGTGGAGGCCAAACTAATTTCACACAAGTCATAAAACCAGTCAAAAACTGTAACAACTTTTGGTCATTCCCAACTTGGGCGGGATTTGAAGGGGCAATTTAGATGTGAAGGGCTCCTTTCCCCAGTCCCTTCCTTGACCTAATCCTCTACAAATTCTTTTATATTTTGGGTTTGTATTTTGCACCAGGACAACAGGTAACTCTGAAGAACATCTCTGCAGACACCTCCGGCTTTTACATTTGCACTGCCACTAACAGCGTTGGACAGGAGTTCTGCAACATGACAGTCTCCATTGTACCTCGTAAGATGCTACTGGCTGCTTGGGTGGGTGGGGCAATGGGGAGGGGGGAAATGTATTCACAGACTAAATGTAGGCAAGGGACTGAAGATGAGTGTACCCCTACCTCTCCAAGAACAGCCCTGTTTCATATCTCCAAAACGAATTCCACTGCCCTGCTTGAAGTGCTCACATTTAGACTTGTCTGTAGTAGCGAATAATACTAAGGCTGTATCTAATTAGATATGGGCCTGAGACACAAAGTTAAGATCTGAACTTGATCAGAGTATGGGGGTGTGGTCTGTCTCCATCTCTGTTGAATCAATCACTCCCGTGGACCTGTCCCTGCTACCCATTGGTTCAGTGCAGAGTCAAGAACAGTTGCTACAAGTAAAAGGATGTCCAGATCCACCATTAAGTGTCTGGGACCCCCAGAAGGGTGGTGGGGTTTGGTCTCTGATGGGTGTGAATCTGACCCGATTTGAAGTCATTCTTAATGCATGCAGGTTTGTTTTGTCAACCCTGCTGTGACTGTGTTTGGTCTTTCCCTCCATAGCATCCATGAACATTGCCCTCTATGCTGGAGTCATTGGTGGTGTAGTTGCTGCAATCATTGTCATTGGGATTTTGGCCTACTGCTGCTGCTGCCGGGGCAGCAAGGACACGGACTACGAGATGACGTGAGTGCCTTTCCCCAGAAGAGTAGGTGGGCTATGTGAGGGACTCTGTGAGAGGTAGAATGTGCTCTCATCTTCTCTCTGCAGCATCGATGCACGACGGCTGGTGGAGAGAGACAATGAGGTGGAAAATTAGCTGATGATGCATAGGTTTTATTGATTGCAAAGGTGAACGACTTAACCCAGGAGAGAAGAAGGCATTGTGCAGTCCCATCTTTGCCACTGCAGTTTGCCTCTTAGTTCTCCTTTACCATACTGGGTCTGCTCTTATGGGCTCCTTTGTGATCGTTGGTGCATGATGTCCCTTAAGCACCATACAGGGTGCAGGACTGAGCTAACAAGCCCAAGGAACCAATCAGGAACCACCTGTGGGTATCTGAAGTTCAGATCCGTTACCTCATTTCTCCCCAGCCTCTGCAATTTCTGTTCTTGGGGGTCTGAGTCACCCTAGCCGCTCATACTCTTCAATCCAAAAATGAGGAAAGGGTCACTGCTCCTGTAGGGAGTGCTGTGGAGAGCTCACAGATACGCCAGTCTTTGCCTCTCTAAACAAGTGCTGTAGGAAATGGGAGAAGGCCGTTCACAGCTACTCCAGCCCCAGCAAGAAGGAGTGTGGGCCAGTGGTTCTCAAACTGAAGTCCAGAGAACATTCCCAGGTGACCTGTGGAGCCACCTCTGTCCCAGCGGTGTAAAATATTCAGAATGTAAGTTAATTAAAACCAGCTAACATCTCTATCTATCTCTGGATAATGTTTTAGTGAGCCAGAAGAGAGTGAGAAGGAGCCCGTCAGGATTCGGGGACCAGCTGAAGAAGAGATGGAGGAGGAGGAGGAGGAATATCGGACAAGAGGCAGGCCACAGATGCCACCCACCAACACACCCCGGCTAGATATTTGAGGCATAGTCACTCCCAGAATAGGAAAGGCAAGGAAGAGGGGACTGATTTAAGAAACACTGTTTACTCCCGACTGCTCTGATCTCTGGTGTAGCTTAGACTGTGAGCTTCCAGGGTCTGGAGTCCATTTCTCTAAATCCTCCTGGGAAGTGCATGCCTAATGCACAGTAGGCACCACTCTAAATAAATAAGTAAATAAGACACTATGTAGAACCAAAACTTATTTCCCAGCACTAGAACCCCTGCTTCACCCACCGTAACCCACCTTTTTGCAGACGGGGCCGTGTCAGGTTTATTTGGGGAGCAAGGGGTAAATCCCCTCAATGCAAATTACTCTGTGTCATTAGATCCATGGAAGATTTCAGCTTCATTAATTGGGGCTCACTGGGAAAGGGCAGACTGGTTAACTTGGGTACTCTGGTAAATGCCACAAGTTTCAGCCAATAGCATGCACTGTATTAGGCCACCGGGCACAGGCACAGTGGCATTACCCAGTATCGGATTGTTTTAACTTTAATTTGATTTTGAGAAGCAGGCTAGTTTAGAAAATGTCAGGTTTCTTCTTAAGCTTTCACTAAACGGGGCTTTTGTATATAATCAAAAATATGTAACAAAAATATAGAACATGATTGCAGCTGATCGCCAGGACCCTCCGCTGGGAACAGCTATTGCATTGGTACTAATGGGATGTCTAAAAACAGCAGAACTGACCATTTGATCTTACTTTTTGTACTTGCAAAGCTTTTTGGTACTGTATAGGCATTGTCTGCAGCAGCTGGACTCTAATCCATAATTGGCAGCTGGGAGGTCTAACAGCCAATCCTTCACCACCTCACTCCATTTGCCTCTGCACAAAAGAGACCTGTTCCCTCCCAAAGGGATTCTAACGGTGCATTTTCATGTCCCATCCCAGAGTCCTCTATCCTCTACTTACTCCCCCACCCCAGCAACAGAAGGGGCAGACAGTGGACCGTCTTCCCTTCACACATGTGGTCATCAGGGGAAGGGAGAAAACATGGCAGTTAGTATCAGAGGGGTAGCCGTGTTAGTCTGCATCCACAAAACCAACGAGGAGCCCGGTGGCACCTTAAAGGCTAACAGATTTATTTGGGCATAAGCTTTCGTGGGTAAAAAACCCACTTCTTCAGATGCATATGGGTTTTTTACCCACGAAAGCTTATGCCCAAATAAATCGGTTAGTCTTTAAGGTGCCACCGGACTCCTCATTGTTAACATGGCAGTTGGATCTTTTCACAGAGAAGGCTAGAAGAAAAATATTCTAATTTTTATTCTAGTGCTGCTCGAAGGAAGTAAAGTACAGATCAATGCACTCAGCGTAGAGTATCAGTGTCCCATACTATACTCAAAACTGTCACACATTCCCTCTCCCACCAGCAGGTTAGGGACTACCCTCAAACTGGCATTTGCAAGTCCCAAAAAGATAGCTCTTCATTTCCCCGTCACTGTTCTCCTGTCTCCTGCTTATGACACAAGTGACAGTCTCGTATTTTCCAAAAGGCTTTTACAATATTAATTTTTGTATTGAGCTAGTTAAATTCTGTTTTTAAAAAAATCTGATACAAATTTTTTGTTACTGATACAGTGTTATCCCTTTAATATTGTATTGTTCCTCTGCCTTCAGTGACTTTGCAGAACTCACAACAGCTGCTCAAGGAAACGTAGCCAAAGAGTAAAAGAACAATCATCTAAAAAATAAGAGAAGGCACATCAGAACAACACTGAAAGTCTCCCAATTTTTTCTAACATTTGAATGTTGTACAGCATCTGGGTCCTAAATCATGTAAATCAGAATAGGGTCTTTCTTTTGACATTTATTTTATATCTGATACTCAGCAGAAATTTACAATTTACTCTTTGCAATTATTGGATCGTAAGTGTACCTACTACAGCGGTTTTCAAAATATGTACAAAACCACCTCCTTGCACTGAAGAAGTAAAAGTCTAACTCAGAAATGTACAGTTCAGATGCATGACAGCCAGAGACATCAGACATGGGCATAATGTAGGAAGGCTTCACTTAAAAGTGGGTTTTAAAGGAGAGAATTGCAGAAAGGGTGTTGCACACAGGAACTGGGAAACCATTCCAAGCACAAGGTGCATAAAAAGGCATGAAGCTGAGAAGAGATGCCAAAAGTGTTTTAGGATACAGAGGCATGTAGAAAGAAGAGGGGGCTTAAGAAGAAAGAGGAGCAGAACTATAGGTGAGGCAGAGTTATAAAGAACCTACAAGGTCAAGAGAAAGTATCTGAATTTGATGCAGTGAGACAGGAAGCCAGTGAAGGAACTAAAGAAGGAAAACTACAGCAGTAGCATTTTGCATACAGTTACAGTAGTCAAACAATGACCAAAGCTCGCAGCAATGATTTAGCAGTAGAGGGCAGAATCTGAAGGCCACATTTTAGGGATATTGGGGGGAGGGGAGTAGCAACAGGATCTAGTGAGTCTGGATGGAGCAAGGCACAAGCAAGGGGAGAAAAAGGAGTTGAAGGCAAAGCTGTGAGGCTGACGGACTGGCTGTAATGGTTTGAACTGTTATATTAAACTGCAGTTTTCCTTTAAGTGAATTTGCCATTGTAATGTTTCTGTTCATGGGCAATAACTGTTTACAACTGCCTTTTCAACAATAAAGAATGCTGCAAATTATATAACCCGTCCCAGATTCCCGTCCCAAAAGTGGACGGGAATCTGGGAGGCAGTGACCATGAGTTGGTTGAGTTCAGGATCCTGACACAGGGAAGAAAGGAAAGCAGCAGGATACGGACCCTGGACTTCAGGAAAGCAGACTTCGACTCCCTCAGGGAACGGATGGGTAGGATCCCCTGGGGGACTAACATGAAGGGGAAAGGAGTCCAGGAGAGCTGGCTGTATTTCAAGGAATCCCTGTTGAGGTTACAGGGACAAACCATCCCGATGAGTCGAAAGAATAGTAAATATGGCAGGCGACCAGCTTGGCTTAATGGTGAAATCCTTGCTGATCTTAAACATAAAAAAGAAGCTTGCAAGAAGTGGAAGATTGGACATATGACCAGGGAAGAGTATAAAAATATTGCTCGGGCATTTAGGAATGAAATCAGGAGGGCCAAATCGCACCTGGAGCTGCAGCTAGCAAGAGATGTCAAGAGTAACAAGAAGGGTTTCTTAAGGTATGTTGGCAACAAGAAGAAAGCCAAGGAAAGTGTGGGCCCCTTACTGAATGAGGGAGGCAACCTAGTGACAGAGGATGTGGAAAAAGCTAATGTACTCAATGCTTTTTTTGCCTCTGTCTTCACTAACAAGGTCAGCTCCCAGACTGCTGCGCTGGGCATCACAACATGGGGAGTAGATGGCCAGCCCTCTGTGGAGAAAGAGGTGGTTAGGGACTATTTAGAAAAGCTGGACGTGCACAAGTCCATGGGGCCGGACGAGTTGCATCCGAGAGTGCTAAAGGAATTGGCGGCTGTGATTGCAGAGCCATTGACCATTATCTTTGAAAACTCGTGGCGAACGGGGGAAGTCCCAGATGACTGGAAAAAGGCTAATGTAGTGCCAATCTTTAAAAAAGGGAAGAAGGAGGATCCTGGGAACTACAGGCCAGTCAGCCTCACCTCAGTCCCTGGAAAAATCATGGAGCAGGTCCTCAAGGAATCAATCCTGAAGCACTTACATGAGAGGAAAGTGATCAGGAACAGTCAGCATGGATTCACCAAGGGAAGGTCATGCCTGACTAATCTAATCGCCTTCTATGATGAGATTACTGGTTCTGTGGATGAAGGGAAAGCAGTGGATGTATTGTTTCTTGACTTTAGCAAAGCTTTTGACACGGTCTCCCACAGTATTCTTGTCAGCAAGTTAAAGATGTATGGGCTGGATGAATGCACTATAAGGTGGGTAGAAAGCTGGCTAGATTGTCGGGCTCAACGGGTAGTGATCAATGGCTCCATGTCTAGTTGGCAGCTGGTGTCAAGTGGAGTGCCCCAGGGGTCGGTCCTGGGGCCGGTTTTGTTCAATATCTTCATAAATGATCTGGAGGATGGTGTGGATTGCACTCTCAGCAAATTTGCGGATGATACTAAACTGGGAAGAGTGGTAGATACGCTGGAGGGCAGGGATAGGATACAGAGGGACCTAGACAAATTGGAGGATTGGGCCAAAAGAAATGAGGTTCAATAAGGATAAGTGCAGGGTCCTGCACTTAGGATGGAAGAACCCAATGCACAGCTACAGACTAGGGACCGAATGGCTAGGCAGCAGTTCTGCGGAAAAGGACCTAGGGGTGACAGTGGACGAGAAGCTGGATATGAGTCAGCAGTGTGCCCTTGTTGCCAAGAAGGCCAATGGCATTTTGGGATGTATAAGTAGGGGCATAGCGAGCAGATCGAGGGACGTGATCGTTCCCCTCTATTCGACATTGGTGAGGCCTCATCTGGAGTACTGTGTCCAGTTTTGGGCCCCACACTACAAGAAGGATGTGGATAAATTGGAGAGAGTCCAGCGAAGGGCAACAAAAATGATTAGGGGTCTGGAACACATGACTTATGAGGAGAGGCTGAGGGAACTGGGATTGTTTAGTCTGCAGAAGAGAAGAATGAGGGGGGATTTGATAGCTGCTTTCAACTACCTGAGAGGTGGTTCCAGAGAGGATGGTTCTAGACTGTTCTCAGTGGTAGAAGAGGACAGGACAAGGAGTAATGGTCTCAAGTTGCAGTGGGGGAGGTTTAGGTTGGATATTAGGAAAAACTTTTTCACTAGGAGGGTGGTGAAACACTGGAATGCGTTACCTAGGGAGGTGATAGAATCTCCTTCCTTAGAAGTTTTTAAGGTCAGGCTTGACAAAGCCCTGGCTGGGATGATTTAATTGGGGATTGGCCCTGCTTTGAGCAGGTGGTTGGACTAGATGACCTCCTGAGGTCCCTTCCAACCCTGATATTCTATGATTCTATGATAACAAGCTACCTGTGTACTTTGGCATTGCCTCCTGAGAAAGAAAAGCGATCTGTCCCATTGCTGCTCCAGACCTCGTCACCACTCCATTTCCCTCAGACAGACTGTAGAAAAGCGTCCTCACCATTGGTGCGCCCCTTCCTGGCTGGGCAGGGCATCACAGAATCTCCGTGTCTAGTGCCCCTTGCCAACAGCCGTTCATGCCTATTGATGGTCCACTTCTTCTTGTAACTTGGCCCTCTACCAAAGTCACTTACATGTTCCCCACCTTCTGGGGTATCAATGTCCCAAATGGACAGTGTCCCAGGTGACACTAGACAGCCATATGACGTCTTCTGCCCCTTCAAGGATCCTCTTCCTCTCCGCTCTCTTGTCAGAGCACTTGCCCTACAGCTTCTTCCTGGAGTCTCTTCGGGTATGTCTACACAGCAAAGCAAAACCCACAGCTGGCCTGTGCCAGCCAACTTGGGCTGAGGCTGTGGGGCTGTTTCATTGCTGAGTAGAGTTCCAGGCTCAGGCTGGAGCCCAAGCTCTGGGACTCTCCCACTCCACAGGGTCCTGGAGCGCAAGTACCAGCCCAAGCCCAGAAGTCTACACAGCAATGAAACAGCCCCACAGCCGGAGCCCCACGAATCCGAGTCAGCCAGCACAGGCCAGCTGCGGGCGTCTAGTTGCTGTGTAGACATATTAACCAACTCAAACGTGAAACAAATCACAACACAACAAAAACAACTTCTCCCCTGTACCCCCCCAAGCTTGAACTTTTAATCCATTCTGGGTCCTCCCCACTTCTCTGTTCTTTTGCAGAACACTGACTCAGAGGGTGTCTCCCTGGAGTCTTACCCGTAGTCTGGATCCTCAACTCCAAGGCAATCTGCCTGGGAGTTGGCACTGTCTCAGTCCCACTTTTAGGAGTCTCCTTCAGCCCTGCTGTCCTCTACCATCAGGGACCATCCCAGGATGTAAACTCCCTTCCAAAACTTTTTTCACCGAGTGCTCTGCTCTCTCAGCTCTTTGTGCAAACCCCTCGCTCTCTCGGTTGGGTCCAATGATTATGAAAGTCCATCTGATCCCCAGCTGAGGAGGATCAGCTGGTACGGTAGCTGATTATCACAAGCAAGGCTGAGCCTGACTCCCCTTAAAGGCCAGCCAACCTATCACATAGG